AAGGATGGCAAGCAGAGCTTGATTTGTGCACGGGGCAGATGGCTACCAAGGTGAGGTCTTTGAAACTTTAAGTCAGCTATTTTAAATATGTTCAAAAACCTAAAGGAAACTATGTCTAAAGAACTAAAGGAAAGAATGAGAACAATATCTCACCAAATACAGAATTTCAATAAGGAGACAGAAATTACAGAAAGGAACCAAATAGAAATTCTAGAGTTGAAAAGTACAATAATGGAAATCAAAAATTCACTAGATGTTCCCAGCAGCATATTTGAGCAGGCAGAAGAAAGAATCAATGAACTTGAAGATAGGGCAATAAAGATCATCCAGTTTGAGGAATACAAAGAAAAAAAAAAAATGAGGAAAAATGAACAGAGCCTCAGAAACCTGTGGGACACTACCAAGCATGCCAACATATGCATAACAGGAGTCCTAGAAGGAAAGGAGAGGAAGAAAGGGGCAGAAAAAATATTTAAAGAAATAATGACCAAAAACTCCCCAAATTTGATGAAAGCCATTAATCTACACATCCAAGAAGTTCAATGAACTCCAAGTAGGAAAAAATCAAAGAGATCTATAGTTAGATACATCAAAATCAAACTGTTGAATGCCAAAGACTAGAATTTTGAAAGCAGCAAGAGGGAAGCAACTCATCACATACAAAGGATCCTCAATAAGATTAACAGCTGATTTCACATCAGAAACCCATGGAGGCCAGAAAAAGTGGGATGGTATATTCAAAGTACTAGTGGGAAAAAAATCTATGAATCAAAAGTTCTATGTCTGGCAAAACTATCATTCAAAACTGAAGGATAAATTAAGACTTTTCCAGATAAACAAAACTGAGAGAGTTTGTCTCTAATAGAACTGCCCTACAAGAAATACTACTGACATGAAAGGACACTAGATAGTAACTTGAATCAACATGAAGAAATAAAGGGCCTTGATGAAAGTAATTACATAATTAAATATAGAAGATGATGTGAATGTATTTTTTATTTGAAACTCCTTTTTAAAAATCTGACTTAAAAGACAACTGCATGAAGCAAAACTGTAAATAGGAATAAAATGTATAAAGATGTAATCTGAGACAAAAAAAAAAAAACATAAGGGAGGGGGGAATGGAACTACACAGGAGCAAAGTTTTGTATACTGTTGACATTAAGTTGGTATTAATCCAAACTAGATTGTTACACATTGAGATGTTAATGGTAACTCCCAGAGAAACTACCAAGAAAATAAGTAAAAAATATATAGTAAATGAAATAACAAGATAATTCATATAGTACACTAGAAAATATCTATTTAACACAAAAAAGGTAGTAATGGAGGAATAAAGGAATGAAAAAGATATGAAATATGGAAAAGAAATAGCAAAATGGCAGACACAAATCTTACTTTATCCATTACATTAAATGTAAACAGATTAAACTTTCCAATTAAAGGACAGAGATTGGAAAAACAGATTAAAAAACATGATCCAACTACATGCTGTCTATAAGAGACTCACAATATTCAAATGCACAAATCGGTCAAAAGTAAAAGGATGGAAAAGATATACCATGCAAACAATAATCAAAAGAGATGAAGTGGCTATATCAATATCAGATGCAATACACTTTAAGACAAAAATCATTACTAAAGACAAAGAAGGACACTTTATAATGATAAAGGGTCAATTTATCAAGAAGATGTAACAATTATAAACATATGTGAATCTAGAAATACAGCCCCCAAATACATGAAGCAAACTGAGGTCTTTAAGAGGAGTAGAGGAGAAGACAGCTCAGTCCTAAATATCTGACCCCCAAGACCCATTATGGTGCTTAATATTCTACTACCAGGGATTCATTCCTTTTGTTTAAAGTTTTGCCTCACTTAGAGTTTTTTGTTAAAGTGCAAATATAGCCCTGAAGCCACCATTTGCATTAACAGCTTAGCTGAAATTGGTTTAAGATCCTTTGGAGCAGTGACTTCTAGTGACAGAGACAAAGGGTTGAGCCATTTTTGATGGAGTATACAGGTATGGCCTGGAGTGGGCCAGGGGGAGAATAAGGAGGAGGGGAGTCCAAGATTGGGTGGAGGTGTTAAAAATAGGGAAAGAGTACAGGCTGGGGAGAGGTAGGAGAAAGCTAGGGTATCCTAGGAGAACAGAAAAGACCCAGAGAGACTGTGAAGGAAATAAGTGCTAGACAAGGAGCAAGCATCTGGGGCATTGGTTTGGTGCTAGAGCTGGGGTTTTGCAACTCAGGGGTAGGGGCAGCAGCAGACCCCAGAAGAAGCACAAGCAATCAGGACAGGGGGGCAAGTGTGGGGCCAGGGATGGTGATGAGCACAGATCATTCACAGGTAAACACCCAAGAGCTGGCACCAGGTCTGAGCTGCTGTGTGAGTTCTGGAGAACCACGGGCAGGGAGGAAGAGTGGACTGTGGGCTGGAACAGACCACAGGCACTGGTAGGATATGGGCACTGACCAGAAAACCAGGAACCCCACAGGAACAAAGGAGTGCAGGGCCAAGAGGCAAAGCCAGATACAAGCTCATAAGCCAGGCAAATGGGCTGGGCAATCGGGCGTCAAACGAGGTAGTGTTTGTGAGCATGCCCAGTTATGAGTAGATGCTCCAGTAAGTGCTTGCTGGTTCTCAATGTGACACTGAAGCAAGGCCACTGGTCTGGGCAGCAGCTCAATGTTGACAACAGTAATAGCCCCTACTTGTTAGTACCTATTATGTGCTGGGCACTGTGCTAAGTACTTCACATGCGTTATCTCACTTAATACTTAAAATGTCCCTGTGAGGCAGACATTGGAACTTCCAGTCTACAGATGAACATGAAACCTAGTTAAGTGACTTGCTCAGGATCATTACAGCAATGTAGATGGGCTGGAGCCGGAAGGCTTTTCTGATAGCACTCTGCCAGGCTCCGGGCCAGGCTGACAGCGCCTGGGGTGGCTTTGATCACCATAGTGGCTTGAGAGGAATGGGGAGAGAAGGGGAGGCTGAGACCTGGGGAGAGCTGCTCAGAGTCTCTCTGAAGTCCCCATCCTCCACATGTTTTTCTAGTGGGATTGCAGGAGGGAGCAGCAGAGGCCTCAAGATGCTTCCTGCCCCCTTTCTCTGCCTGGCTCTTTAAGGATTCATGGGGATTGACCCCACATGCTGGAGCACCAGGCTCTAGGGTCATCCCACCCTGCTCAAAACCCTGGATGCACTTTTCCTAAATGGAAAAATGCAGCCCAAAGCCAGGGACTAGGTATTGGGGATGACAGCATCCACGGGCTTGGGGAACCGCTGGTCCAGCCTGCTTGCCCCATGAATCCCAGCTGCCATCTCTGTTTTCTGTCAGAAGCAGGAAAGCTGCTTTACTTTCTCCATGGCTATCCCTATCTTCTACCCCCCTACACCACCCCCCCACACACAACAATACACACACACAGAGATTGGAGGGCCACTTCTGGGTGACCCATCCCACTAATGAGACTATCACCAGTGATCTCTTTTCAGGAAAGGAGTTTCCTGGGAGTTCCCTGGGAGTTCCCTTCAAAGTTGGACTGGGGCCAGGGCCAAGTTAAGTTGGAAAATGAACACGTCATCATAAGCACTCTGAGCAGGAAGAGCCCGAAGCATCAAATAGCCCACCCTTCATTTTACTGATGAGAGGGGGGCCCAGGGAGGGAGCTGGCTTGTCCAAGACCACGGAGTCCCTCCTGGTGCTCAGCGCTGGTGTCTGTCCTGACCCTCCATGGGCTCCCTGGTGCCTACAAAGGCTGGATGAAAGAGAGAGAAGTCTGCAAAAAGGAGGTAGGCACTTGCCTGGTGACCCAGGGGGCTCTGATCCTTTTGGGAGTCTAAGGAGGAGGCCACAAGGAAGATCCCGGGCAAGTCTGGCCAGTGGTTTCTCCCTTGCCTGGCTGGCTGTGTGCAGTTGTCTTGACTCATCTTCTTGGAGGCCTGGGGACACTTTCTGTCCCTCTCTTTTCCTGTGCCCCAGAGTGGGTATGGACACCGCCCGCTTCCCTGTGGGGCTGGGTCTGTTGCCCTAGAATGGTAATTGGCAGTGATCTTAATGATCTGTTCATCCAAGCCCCACAGCAGGCAAGAGTGCCCTCGCCAGTCCCCGACAGTGGCCAGTGATGCTGCAGCACTGCCCGGGGCTGGGCCCTCCCACCACCAAGCTGAAGGAACCACACACGGGCCCAGATCCTTCCCCACGACCCCAGGGCCCTGTGTGGGTGCAGTCACGGGGGTGCTGAAGCTGGCAGCTACTCTCTGTTCACTTCTCAGACACCAGCAAAATGTCAACATCACAGCCACACTTTCTTTTTTTTTTAAATACAGTCTTCTGGAAAAAGGTAAAATAAAATAAAATGAAGTCAGTAACTATGGACCTGGTGTTGGGCCTCACTGCCTGCGTGTCAATCTACTCCATTAATCATCATGTACCAGTTTTCGAAGAGCTATTTTGAGAAGCATTTAGAAAATGGCTTTTACATAGCTATATATACCTTATTTATACCCTCCAGAAATGGTAGCACTGTTTAGCAGCAGATGGGTTTTCTCCCCTAGTTTTCTTTTCATCTCTTAGTCAAAGTTAAGTAGGAAGTAAGCCCACTCCCTAACCCCAGGCATAAATTTATCACCCACAGTCCACCTTGGTGTCAGGGGTGTGGGTGGCGGTGGAGAGGAGAGGCTGTGGGTACTTTGTAAGGCACCAGTCCAGAGAACTGGAGGGGCCAATACAGTGGGCAGGGTGGCTGCTGAGAGAGGCTGGCCCTGAAGCTCGGGAAGGAGCAGAAGCCCTGGAGTGGGGAGGGTGGAAGAGGGTGAGGGTGCCCTGGTTTGCTTCTCTCAACACCACGTGGGCATCTCAAGGTCCATGAGGCATATGCCAAGAGTATCCCATTGGCGTCCAGAGAACAGGAGCCAAAGGAAGACCAGCCACCCCATGGCAGGGCCCAAGCGCTCTATCTTTGGCATAGAGGAAACAGCAAGTTGGCCCTACACAGTTGCCATGGCAACTGCAGTGCTGAGGCTCCTAAGGGCAAGGGGAGGAGAAGGGAGGTGGAGAAGACATGTGGTGGCTTTTCTGGAAAAGCCCATCTGTTTCTTTACCCCCAGGAAACCAAGCTGGGAAAAAAGGAATGGGCATCTGGGGTCTAGAGAGAGAAGGGAGAGAAAAGACCCCGAGATGCTCCAAGAGCAGCTCTCCTGATTGGGTGTGCTTCCATTCCTTTGGGGGAGGAAAGTCACTGACAAGGACAAAGGTCTGGGCAGGCCCTGGTGAGGGCATCTGGCAGGAGCCTGCGTGCAGGATTCAGGGTGGGTCCTGTGACCTCAGGCCTGGGTGGAGCAGTCCTAGGAGGCTCCTGTCAGCCACAGCAGGATTTCTTCTTGGCAGGGCGGTCAACCTGAATGGTGTCCTCCCTCACTGTGTCTTCTTGCTCCTTGAGGACCCTGGGAGAGGAGAAGACATAGTGTCAGTAGTGGAGAAGCTGCCTCCACTACTCAGGGCCCTCAGGTTGCAGGCTATCTGGGTAATAAGAAGGAAACCCAGCCTCACCAGAGCATCACAGAGAGTATTCCAAGTCTCCCTATGGGGAGTACAGGTGCATGGCTGTAATTTGTGAAGCCAGAGTTTAGTCAATATGCATTCTCCACAACACTTCCTCTAGGAAGCCTCCCCTGATCCTCTAGGTGGTGTAAGTGCCCCTGATAGCACTCTGACCCTTCCTCTGTCATAACCCATCACTCGGTGTCATAATGCACTGCTTCCTTAGCAGGTTCCTTCAAATGAGTATGAGCTGCTTGAGGGCTGAGGCCGTATCTTCGGTCTCTGTAGCCTATCACAGTACCTAGCACATCACAGAGGCTCAAAAAATATATCTATTGGTTATCAGCTCTACGGAAGGGCTGTCCTGTGTGGCCACAGCTCCAGGTTGAATGTCGGAGGCGAAGGATTAACAACAGTGGTCAGGTGTCTTATCCCCGCTTTATACTCTCAAAGAGCTTTCACCTGAAGCATCTCTTCCGCTTCTCAAAACCACCTATGAGTTGGCAGGAAGGGCATGATTGATGTTGCTATGTTTGCGACAAAGCTCAGAGAGGTGGGGTGACTTGCCCTGGGAATCAGTGGCAGAGAAAAGCCTAGAACTTTCCCCAAGATCTTCCATAACTCCACAACTTCTCCAATGCATAGAAGGAGTTGTTCTGGGTCCTCAATTACGTAAATAAAAATAAATTTGAGATGCTGCAGAATGAATGCTGAGCACAAAATGAACACTATTAAGTATTTGCCGGATGGATAGATGGATAGCTGGATAGATAGATGGGTGGGTGGATGAATGGCTTCGTGGGTAGGTGGGTGAATGGATGAATGGAATGAAATGAATGCCTGGATGAATGAAGGAGTGAATGCCCAGGGTTGAAAACGGGGCCCTGTGTGGTTTTGTTTTCTTCATTTTGGTGTAGGCACAGGCTTAGGGAGCCAGTCTTTCCGTGGGACCAGTCCTTTGAGCGCCATCACCTCAAGTGCCTGATCCCTATCACAGCCCCTCCTCTCGCTGGCTCCTCCTCCCTCTCACCCAGGAACCCATATTATAAAGTTCTTGCTCCCAGCTGGCTGCCAGCTAATCCCCCCTGAGATAGTAGGCAGTGTCAAGGGACCTACAATATGACCTTTCCCAGAAGCATTTGCATTTAAAAAGAGGATCCGTGGGAAAAAAAGCAGCCTTTAAGACCCAGAAGAAGAAGACTTCAGTAGGGGTGACAGGCATGGAAGCTTCTTTTTTTGTCCTTACTGTGTTCCAGGGGGCTGTCCCTTACCCCTGGAATCCCACACAAAGGCCTGGGCCTCCAGCTCTTTCTCCAGCAGGCTTAGGCAGAGAGGACAGGCCAGAGGTCTGGCAGGGGGAGGTGAATGCAGTGCTCCCACCAGACCCGTGCAGCAGAGTCCCGTCACCTGCTGAGTCAGATCCCTTTACCTGGCCAGATGGAGCAGGGACTCTTTGGTGTTGTGACCGGAATAGGCACTGCACTCATAGAAGATCAGGTTGTTCTCCTGGAACCACAGAGAGAGGGAACAGAAGGAGGTACTGGGGAGTGTGAGGGCACATGGGGAGGTGGGGGACAGCCTGTCTGCATCTACCCACACCCCTCATTCCTTTATGGTCATTCCTTTATGGTCGCCTCTAATTCCTCCACCTCTCCCCACTCTGTACATGGTTGATTTGTCTCCTCAGGCAACCTCAGCAACCTGCTCACGAAAGTTCTGTAACCATCTCCCAGGTGAGCTATAACAATTGTAAAAAACAGAATCATGCGCTGCCTTAGTGCTTTACATGTTCTCAGGTACATACACACTGTCAGGTACATACACACTCATTTCCTTCTCACACCAGCCCTGTGATGCAGGCAAAGATACGAAGGCCAGGGTGGGCCTCATCCTTCCCACTTCACAGGCAGGGACACCGAGGCTAGACAGGGTATAAATGGCAGGCCTCCGCAGGTCACGTATGTAGTAAATGGCAAGGCTCCTGGCAACATGCTTTTCCCAGCACAGTGGCATTCCACGGACCTCGGGGCAGATGCCACTCCAACAGGAATTCTCCTTCACACCAGTGAATTAACACTCCAGCTGCCCAGGCTGGCGGCACGGTGCCACAGGACAATTGTCCATCACATCACCAGGCAAGGGCTGTGCTGCATGCACTGTGGGGCCCTTGGCCAAGGTTCATGTATTCTATTCATCACTCCCATCAATGGATTTCCTGCTTCATTCTGACAATGCTAATGGCCTCGAGCCCTGGAGGCTGCTGTCCCATGGGGATGAGGGCAGCTGAGTGAAGACACTGCTTCTGTGGCTGCAGATCAGGAGCCTTTGCAAACGCTAGCTCCCAATTCAGCTTTCCTGATCCACACCCTACAGGCCCAGCTCCATCCTCTGTGCTCTCCACATCAGTCTGTGGAAGAGTGAAGGCTCCATGGTGAGGGCAGGGGGAGTGCCCAGGACCAAGAATTGGAAGACATGATTTGCCTCCCAGCTTCAAGTCCTGACCCCACCACTGAGGAGCTGTGTGATAATTGGAATAAATCACTTAACTTCTCTGAACTTTTTTTTTTTTTTCACTGACCAAAAAAAAAAGAAAAGAAAATAGGATGATAAAAATACAGGTCTGCAGTTCTTGAATCAAAATCTTTGGATCCAGATATATTTTGGAATCCATAATTTTTGAGTTTCAGAAAGGTAATACATGTCTATACTATATATTACATGGTACCCTCAGTGGGTCTGGGACAGCATCCGATAATCAAACATATTATATTTCTTCAGTGAAACATCTGAATATTCATTCAAAGTAAGGCAAACAAAGACCATAAATACCCTCATATCAGTTCTGGTCAGATTTTTCTGCCAGATGAAATGCAAAAAACCTCTCTGTTTTCGGAGCGCTTTGGATTTCAGAATTGTGGATGAGGGACTATGGACACGCAGCTGCTGAGTGACCCTCCACAGAACAACTGCCAGGCCCTTCTTCCATCTTTTTCCTCCTCTTACCATCCGTGCCCATTTTCCCAGCCGCCGAGATCGTGTCCCTGTTCAGAGCAGGCACTCTAAGAAGGATGGAGTCCCAGGGCTGGAAAGCACCCCCATCTTCCCAGACACACAGTTCCCTGAAAACCACCCTGAGGCAGCAGAAGGAGCCAAGGAGTAGCACTGTTTGTTGCGCTGCCTGACTTCCATTAAGCCTTGTCGGTTCCCTGCTTTGGGAGGAGGGCGGATGCTGCTTTTAATGGTAGGCTTCCCACTGCCCTGAGTTTATCGTGAGTTCACAGCTTCGAGGCTCAATCTGGGTAGAAAGCATGAACTTTCTAACAGAGCTGTCCAAGGAAGAGCACAATGCCTTGCAGACAGTGAGTGTTTCATCCCCGAAGGTGATCAAGTGGAAGCACAGAGGATGAGATTCAAGTGTCAGAGGGGCATTGAAATAAATGGGCATTGAAATAAGTAACCTCTTACTATCTAAGAGTTTATAATTCTGAGTTCTAACAAAGAGAGTTTGGGAAAATTCTCCATACTCTACTCATAACCAGCCAACTCCATCTTGCAGCTTTCTATGGAAAGCTCCATGTGCACAGGAGCTGGATCATTCCCATGACGCCAGGACACCCACCTTGCCCACTTGCTTCCTTCCCAGGGACCTTCCAGAGAGGGCTCCCACCAAGGCTCTTGGGCACATGCCCTCCTGCCCTCGGGGTCTCACTCTGTCCAGAGAGGTGGAAATGTGCGTCCTTTACCTTGGCGAGCTGCTCTCCAAGGCTTCGTGGGACTTCCCGCTCTTTCTCGTTGTCAATTTTATTGCCCAGCAGAAGAACAGGAATGCAGTCTCCCACAGCTTCCTGCAGAACAGATAATCCCCCAACTGAGAGAAAGATCCAGAAGGAGAACCCAAAAGGGCAGGCTTAAAATGCTGGCTGGAAAGATACAATCTGGCTTGTGAATCCCCTGCTGCCACAACAGGCCAGGTAATAAGAGAGTCATCCCGAAAGCTATGAGGGAGAGCCACCTTCCATGAGAGCCTCAGTTCACAAGGCTTCTGCAAGGTGCCTGGAGCCTGCCTGTGGGTGCCCCCCAGTCCCATCAGAGCGGTAACCCCTCCCTCCTCTCCATTCTCCTTGGACCCTGGATGGAACATGCAGGCTCCTCATGTGTTGTGAGAGTCAATAGCAAGATGAGGCCACAGTTGACGCTGATGAAATATGTGTCCTTACAGCACCCCTGAGGGCATTCCTAAGTGGCCAGACTTAGTCTAAATGAACCAGAATGAACCAAAGGAATTAATGCAATGTGGTTTGGAAGTGTCCTAGGGGCTACTGTGATTACAAGTGGCGTCTCCAGGGGCCTCATATTGGGCACGTAAGCTCCCTGAGGGTTGAGTCCACACCTGATTCATGGTATTGGGTCCATAGTGCCCGATAATGACCATTGTGTGCCTCGTTGGAGGTCCCCACACTGGGCACTGCAGATCTCTGTCACTGGTGCTCCGGCTCTGAAGGGGGCCCTGCATCAGAGAGAACCGTGTAGCCACAGCAGCTGCACATCTTGGGCCAGAAGTAACAGGTTTACTCAAGGAGTCCAGCTTGTTTACTCCTCCAATGGCTGTGGCACATCAGCCAGGGGCCCGCACCCCAGGCGCTCTGCACCCCAGGGTACCCTCCCCTGTGAAATGGGTGTACCACACGTGCCTCTCCTCAAGGCCAACAAAGGACTCAGGAAGCACAGCTATTAAGTGAGTAAATATAGTAATGTTCACATTTAAGCAGGTTGTTATTTTTGCTCTGTGAGATATTTAATTAGGGGCTTTTAATCATAATTTGGTAACAAATAGTTATTCACTATAGCTAAATGTTTTACTAGAGAGAGAGGGCTGCGGGATAACAGAAGCTAACAACAGTTATAGTTTCCCAATAGTTCAGCTACTTTACCTTCCCATTTCAAATAAATGTCCAAAGTCCAGCCAATAGGTACACCTATTTTAAGTTCAAATGCAATTACATTTGAAATTAAGCCTCAATGGCTCCTTACTCTAGACATTCATTTTTATTGCAGTTCAGTAGTGAAAAAAATTCTCATTTACTAAATGAGAACGTTAAGGCTCAGAGAATCCCAAAGAGCATTCAACAACAAAGTCACTGAGTTATGAGGACCCTTTAGAATACGGGTCCACAATTCTCTAATCTTTTTCTCTCGATTCTTATTTCCAATGAACTCTCTGCTATTTAGTGTCTTATTAACTAGAACTCTCTAAAAGCAGTATTTCCACATACCCATGGTAAGATGGTAATTAATGTGGGTAATGATGACTCAAAGGCACTACGAGATCTTACAGTGTCTTCTTACCCATCAAAAACAGACTGAATTATGTGCACTATAGTTGATGTGTTAAGTGGATTGTACCATATTCCAATTATCTGCAATTTAGAAACCCACTTATGGCACAGAGAGAACGCTGTGGCTCCCTATTACCAGAGTTTTGGTTAATGGGAATGCCGCCATTCTCTGACTATGCTGTGCATCAGGAACTTGTGCGAAGAGTTTTTCACAGAAATGGAAGAAAAGAGGAGGAAGCAGGGAAATGGGCCAAAAGGCTCACTGTTTGGAGCACATGCAAGAGAGAGATTCGTAGATTTATGTGTGAGGAATGAGTAAGGCTTGTGGGATTTCCTGATATGGAAATTCTGAAAATATGAGCATCAGACTCGAAATCCCAGGGCAGAATTCTAACCCGGATTCTGGCACCTTGGAATGATGGCTTCAGTGTCCTCACTTGCAAAGGGGATGCTGGGTACTGAACAACTGAATAGGATGAGGTAGGAACAGCCGTAAGCCCAACATCTGAGCCCTGTGCACCATAACAGCAGTGCTGTCTCTTGGGAAAAGAAGTGGCAGTCTGTTTTTTTAAAGCAATTCCCGGATATAAAATTAAAAGAGCTTAGAAGGAGCAGGAAAAAAGCCAACCCCCCAGCTGGAGCTGTGGTTTCTGTTCTTTGCATTGTTCCTCTCTTACATAAACACTTTGGACAGCTCGCTTCCCCTCCGTGGGCCCTGGCCTGCAACTGATAAAAGAGAATTAGGCCTATATCCAAAGACACGGCAACAATAAGTGAGAACACACACAAGCCTGGAGAATGAGCCATCTCTCACGGGCAGTCAGTTGGCCCAAGATCAGTCTCTGATACAGGGCCATGGGGAGGGGCTGGGGCTGGGCGTCGTGTCTCATGGTGCTCTCTGACTTGAACTTCAAGTCTTGAGCTATCTCCCTAAACATTACACCTTTTGCATACCTAACTAGATTTCCAGCCTGTATACTGCTTGGCGCAAAGATGCTCATAGTGATCCTCCAGACGAAGCAACACTTCCTTTCAAAAGTCCAAAGCGCGCCTCCTTTGGTGAACAAGTCTAAGTTCCACTAGACCTCTGCTAATATTTCTACAGATGGTGGTAAAGTCCCACAGGCGTACCAGGTCAGAGGGAAGGAAGCTGAACTCCTTCACCAGGCACAGTCTCCACAGCAGACCTGGGCTCTGCCCTGGCTCTGCTGCTGTCTCTCTGTGGGACTCACCCAAATCGCTCCTCTTCGCCGAGTCTCTATTCTCTGAGATGTGAAACGGGCCTCTGAAGCTGGCTTCTGTCCTCTGACTCCCTGACACAGAAGCCTCTCTGCACCTTCGATCATTTTAGTTGCCTTTCTCTGAACCTGAGCTTGTTGGAAGACAGACTTGTTGAAATTCAAAAGATTACCCATCTCTGACTTTAAATAACATGAGCTGTCAGCTTGGAGCAGAGGACTGACATTCAGCTCAGAGTGTGCAGCTGTTGGATTTGGTGGGTTGTAGTGCGTGTGTGTTTGAGTGTGTGTGTGTGTGTGTGTGTGTGTGTGTGTGTGTTTTAATATCTATTTGCTGGGAGGCAAGAAAAAGCACTTAGTTGGGATAGGGCTGCTGTTTCTCTGGAGCCAGAATAAAAAATTTCTCAGCACATTATAGCATGCAGTTATGCTAAGAAAAAAATGACTGCAAAATTATATCTTGGGGGTTTCCATATTTATCCACCCCCTGGACTATGAGTCAAAACAAGATTTATTTGTGTAGTTCATTTTGAACTGCCAGCACTTCAAGCTCAACTTGGAATGTGGGAAAAAAAATCAAACTGCTATTTTTTGCTCTGTGCTGTACATTGTCACCAATGACAAAGATCACAGAATGAGAATTAGCTAGCAGTCCATGAGGGGAGAGGATAGGGGGCCTGGACCCTTGGAGCTGAAGAACTGTTCTGCTTTGAGACTGAAGCCAGGACTGAAAAAGACACAAACACCTATTTTTCAGAAGTAGATTTCAACCCTGAACCGTGTGACAAGAGAGTAGCATCACGCAGTGGCAGACCCCTAGATTCTCGTTCTGGCTGTACCCTCTGACAAGCTGTGGGGGCCTTTGGACAAGTCACTTCCTCTCTCTGGATCTCAGGATTTCTCATCTATGAAACAAGAGGCTGCATTAGATGAACGTCCAAGTTTTTTTCCAGTTCAGAGACACTGGTCTTGTTGGCTTAATCAACCCAGTCATATGTCACTTCCTTGACTGATAGGCCTAACAATACAGTGCTATCAGAATGACAAAAGATCAACACGGCAGGACTGCAGACATTGGGGATCAACCATCTGGATCTGGGGGAAATACTAGCCGCTTCAGGTTCCTATTTTCTCTACCTGATACAGGCCCCAAAGTCTGCAGATGTTATTTGTCTCTTGGTCTAAACATGGGCCCCTTAGAGCTCAACCAGTTTCTCCTCTGGATTGGACTTGTTAACCAGGCCCAGTCAGGGCAGCTGAGGAGGAGGCAGGGGTGGGTTGTGAATGCTGAGTCTGCAGGGATGACTAACTTCTTTTCTTCCTGTGAGGTGCATAGGAAATGTAGAGCAGCAGGAGAATCAGCAGAGTGTCTGGGCCCACCTTGGGCCTCTTCTGCAGAAGGCCTGCAGGCAAGGTAGAGCTGTGTAGATGGGAAAAGGATGAGAGAGGGTGGGGCAGGAGAAGAGTCCTGGGGGCAGGACTCTCCCACCTCACACAGCAGGGCAGGCGTTAGTTCTCTTGCACCATAGGATTTTGGTTCCCTCTGGGCTGGAAGGCTCCTCTAGGGTCCTCTCATCCACACACAATCCTGCCCCCGCCGCCCCCAGAGAGTCAAATGCCACATCCGGCAGGATATGGGGACCAGGAGGAACCTTTCAGAGCCCCTGGTCCACTCCTTCATTGAGTGATTGGCCGAAGTTTCATGACCAGGAAGAGGCTGAGCTGGGCTGGTAAGAACTTCCTTCTTAGGGAACTCCATACCTCCCCTGAGCATCTGTTCCCGCCCCACACAACCTCTTCCAAGAGTAAGTCTTTGCCATGTATAATCTGTGGCAATTGAAGCCTTTTCTTCTTGTACTGCTTTTCAGGCTGCAGGAGGAAGGGGCACTGAGAATAGCTGGCCAGCATTCACTTAATAATAAGGCTTCAGAGCCTGAAGCCTGTTATTAAAGCTCCCCCTCCAACCTCCCTTCTCCAGGCGAGGGAGTTGGCAAAGTGCTTGGAGCTCTATGGAAAAATAAGGTGCTCCACAAATATAAAGTACTTATTATTTTCAGTTTCCCTCCGATAAAATTAGGTGTCAAGTTTTAATCTATCACCTGACACCTCTGATTGCTGGTTGCCAAGGCAGAATGACTTAGATTTTCAAGAATCTTGAAAATAACTGCATTTATGATGCCACTGTTCCACACCTTCAACACACACTCTGCCATCTGACACAGCCTCCTGTACTTGCTGGTGAAACCCTGGGCCACTGAATTGGGTCCATCATACCAAGTCCTCCAGAGGGCCTCACGAGTGCTGGACATGCGGGAGAGGCTCAGCAAATTCTTGTCGAAGGAGCACAGGCATCTTTGAAAATGAAGATTTAGAACCCTGCTTCTCAAAGTGTGGTCCTTGGACCAGCAGCATCGGCCTCACGTGAGAACTTGTTGGAAATGCAGAAGCTCAGGCCCTAGGCCAGATCTGCTGAATCAGACTCTGTACTGTGACAATACCCCAGGAGATTCCTATGCAGACGAGGGTTTGAGGAGCACTAGTTTAGGCTGGGAACCATGGCGGCTGAGAACCAAAGTCACCTGGGGCACTGTTGCTTTTTTTTGGAGTTCCAGGCCCTGAGTCATTCTATTTGGGAGAGAAGGCCCTGGCATCTGTTTTGTTTGCAAGCTCCACAGGTGATCCTGATGTTCATCCAGGTTTGTAATCAACATTTAGAGTTTACCTGTACCTTCTGCTAAAATTTTAAAGGAAGACTCAAACTACCAATTATACAGAGAAGCTGCATCCACAAATAGACAAGTCTGAGTCAGCGGTGCACGGAGTTGTCTTCTCAGTTTGGCTTCCTGAGCCCGTACATGCACCAGGGCTTCCACAGGCACTCTTGCTGGGCACATGCTGACAGTGCTTTTCAGCCCTCCCCTGTGCAAGACATGCCAGACATCCAGGGCTTGGCACAGTTTTCTGGAGAATGACTGAGCTCGTGCTTCAACCTGCAGTGAAGGCCCTCTGATATTTCTTCATTTCCACCACCACCACTAAACTCAACCCGATGTTCCACCTCTCCTGCTGGATCCCAGGCTCTCTGTGCAACAGGAGCCTTAGCAACAACACCCACCTAATGATGGCAGAGTGCAGTTCTGTAAATTTGTCTCCATCCATTTCTATTAATCCCAGGCTATTTGAACTGGCTCTGCCCAGGTCTAGTATATATCAAAATTTAGATATTGGGGGACAATTAAATGTCTGTGGCTGAGAAGAGAATGGGTCACCTTGAAGAAGTCATGGCCTCAATTTCTTCATTTGAGCATGAGATGACTATACTAGATGACTGATTTTCAAAGGGAAACTCTCTTGTCTAATTGTACCTGGACCTCCAATACACAAAATTGAAGGAAGTAGAGTGGCTCTAACTGAGGTGGGGACAAGGGGCCCAGACGTGTGACCACTGCACCTGATTCCAGGGCTCCAAGGAAGAAAGTTTGAAAACCACTGGATTAGGTAATCCCTTAAATCTCTCCTGGTGCTTAACTTCCACGAGGAAGATAAATCGGCTGGCGCTATCAACAAAAATCATGTCATAAATTCCCAAGTTTAAATAGGAATCATTTCCAGATTACCCATACTGTTTGCTTCCACTATTACCTTGCTGTAGAGCCATTCACTACATTTCAAAACTTACATTTTCTCTATTGTAAGTGTTTTAGTCACAATCGTTTTGAGAAATAATTTGTATTGAGCCAATTTCTGAGAAACCCTTGAATCTGGCTTGCATTCTTGTTCCTTATTTTTCTTGGTAATGAGAAAGATGTGGATTAACTGTAGAGAAAGGAGCCAGTCCAAACTATAACAGAAACAGATTTTGGTGGGAGGAATCATAGATCTTGGGGCCAAAAGGATGAAGAAATGAACAACCCCAGTATCCTGCCTGCACAACAATATAGTACCCATTCATGCATCCAACAACTGCCAAGCACTAGTCCTCTGGGGTCTCATGCCAGGCACTGGGTTACGGTGACAAAGGTGCACTTTCAGTTCTCGGGAGGCACAGAGTGCAGCAGGGATGTGGGCTGGTGCTGTGTCCTTTACAGCAGTGTGACGTGTGATAAGGAGGTAAGGGGGCTATGCAAGGTCTTATGGGCTTGAGTAGAGGATTGATCGGAAGATCCATGAGGACAGGAATGTTGTCTCCTTTATCCACTGCTGTAATTCCCTGATCCTAGATCAGTGCCTGGCAGTGTTTTGGACAAATAAATACACAAAGCCTGGATTTTCTGGTGGAAGGAGCTGGGACATCCTATTTGACTGGTTTGTGAAAGAATCAGCTGAGGACCTGTAAAAAAAATAAGTGGCTTGTCCACACTGCCTTTGGCCTTGAGAAGTCTGTGTGAGAGCGGAAGAGGAAGATGCGGATGGCCAAGAAGTAAAAACACTTACAAAAGCAACATATTGCAAGTAGGAATCAAGAAAGTGGAGTCTTACAGATAATCCAGAATTCAAAGAGCACTGTTGCTTGTGGGCCCTGCCCAGGGTGACTTTGGGGTGAGCCTGGGGCCCTCACATTGCAGATCAACCCCCCTCACGTGAAGGGTTGTGACAGAGGCTCCAAAACACTGCGTGGTGCTGCTCTTGGGTGGGGCACAGCTGGGCCCACTGCAGCTAGAAAAACGCAGCGGGTGGGGAGAGGTGGTGGGGAGAACGAGGAAGCACACGGTCGTGACTCAATTTAAACACCGATTTCTCAGGAAAACCTTCCTTGACACTGCACTCTGTGCCCCTCCCCCAGTCCCATCCCACACACTGGCAGCACTTATTGCCATCCTAATGACAGGATTATTGATGTAATCTGCATTTTCCACATCCCTCTCCATGAGGGCAGGGACTGCGTCTGCCTTGCTCACTCTTGACTCCCTGGTTACTAGCCTGGTCCCGGGCACGTGGGTGAAGGGATGTATGAACACCAGAATTGGCTTGCTCCTGGAGAAGGTGGTTCTGAACCAGGTGTGGGAAGTGCAGAGGGCCGGGTGGGAGGTGGGTAGAGAAGAAAGGAGGTGGGAGTCCCGAGTGCTCCTCGGAAGCGCCCCCGCTCACCTCCACGCTGCTCAGCCACTGCCGGACAGACAGGAAGGACTGCCTGGCTGTGAGGTCGTACATGACGATGACACCGTCTGCCTTTCTGAAGAACTGCTGGGTGATGGAACGATACCTGCCACCAAAGGGCGCAGGTCAGGGGGCACGGCCTCTCCCCTGCAGCCCAGACCTCCCACCCCTCAGGGGAGTGAGGGAGGCAGGTTAAGTCGGGACGGCTCCTCACCTCTCCTGCCCGGCCGTGTCCCACAGCTGCAGGGCCACTTGCGAGTCGTCCACACGCACTGTCTTCACACGGTAATCAATGCCTGCAAGGTGGAGCGGCCTGTCACTTCCAAATTAGAAAACCATGCCCCCAGTGTGTCTGGAATCACACCAGGCTGAGGGTGGCAACCCTGCCTGTGCAGGTCCCACGAAGCAAGGTGGGGAAATGGACAGAGCACTGGACAGGGAGGTACGGGACCTGAGTTCTGGTCCTGTCTCTGCCACTTACTAGCTGTGGGACCTTGATCAAATCACTTAACCTCTCTGACCTGTAGGCTCTGCACTGTGATGTAATCCATCCCTTCTCAGGGATAACATAATAAGGTTCAAATGAGCTCACGTATATAAAAGCAGTATACCAATGCAAAGACAATCATTATTATTCATGGATTTACTCCCTCATTGCAAAGATGGAGGAGGAGGAAAGACTGTCCTCAAATTTCTTTCTCCCTCCCTCTCTCTCTCTGTCTCTCCCTCTCTTTCTTTTTTTCTCCCTAAAATCCTCTTCAAAGTTCCCCTAATAACATTCAAATATCCCAGGGGGCTGGATCATACTTTCAGACTTCCATCCCCAGTGCAAACGTCTGTGCAGGAGCAGGAGAAGGGGTTGGCAGGTGGAGGGGGGCCAGAAGAGAGGAAAGAGGTGGGGCTAGTCAAGGACCACATTCGCCCTGGAGTTCAGAGCTCCTAATCCCAGCCTCTGGGCCATTCGCCATCTTCTCTGTGAGGCTGGACCTCCCTGGAGTCGTGGAGCACAGAGAGAGGGAACAAGGACAGGGAAGTGCCTTCTGCACCCCACAGCAGCCCTCAGAGATGAGCACCTACATGCAGGTTCTTTGCTAACAGACATTCTTCCCTCCTACATCATGTAAGAATGTTCGCAAATGCTTAAGGAGGTTCAAAAAGTCTTTCCACCTTAAGGTATTAGATCTTGGAACCAGAGGTGTCCCCTGCCACCTTCAGAAAGGCCCAACCTCTGAGGTCCTTACCCTGCAGGGCTAGATAAAGACAGAAGAGACAAAACAGACAACAAAGAGGGAGTAAATGAAAAGGGTCATCCCAACCATTGTCTCCAGGCAAAGGCTAGTTAGGGGCCTGGGAGTGGAAGCCGGGCAGGAGGGTCAGCCATTCCTAGGACGTCAGGACCTATGGGGACTCTGGAGGCCAGAGGGAGCGGAGTGCATTTGCCTGGGTAGAGAAAAAGAGTGATTTGTCCCTCTGGTAGAATGCCTGATATTTCTAGTTTGCCTATTGCCACCTCTCCATCCTCACAGTGCACGACTCGATGGCTCTTCTGTCTCTTTAAGGGGAGCATCTTTCAAGTGGCTGGCGTGACATCTGCTTACTGACACGTGTAGCAGGGTGAGGCGCGGTGCGTGGCTGGGAGGCTAATTGGAGCTGCTGCTCCAGCGTGCTTTGCGCAGTGTGATGAAGCATTCCCAATTTGGAACCTTAGATATTTTTGCCCTTCCTAAATTGTAGGTGTTTCCATAATTGGCCTCCTGGGAAGTGCAAATTAGTCTGATTTTCTCTTTTTCAGAGCCTTCCATCCTGGGGCACAAGGTGGAAACGTAAATGGACCCCGATTCCCTGATTTCATCTACAGGAGAGGCACACTATGTGCCCTCTGCTTGCAGGAATGCCTTTGAGGGCCCAAGGTCTTGGCCTCCATCCCCTGCCTCCCACAAGCCTGTGCTGGAGCCATGACTCGTGAGGGCCTGCCTTGCTGCGTGTTGCTTCCTGCGTCACCACACTAGGCCCCCTTGGCTCCCTCGCAGCCTCTCCTCTCAAGGCCACATGAGGCCAGACTCTCCTGGGCTTGGTTCACAGGCTCTGCCCTTCTTCCTATCAGGGTCCTGATTCTTCATCAGGGATGCCCTCAGTCTTTGGGTGGAATGGGGCAGAGGGAGGGGACACGAGGGTATCCAGATGTGATAACAGCATAGGAAAGGCCCGGCAGTGAGAGTGGGACATCTGAAGTGCGTGGGAAGAGACCCATCTGTGGGAGAGAAGTTGGACAGAAGGGCCGGTTCAGGGTCAGAGGAAGGAAACGGAGCATCCCCAGGCAGGGCTCTGGGGCACGGGAAGTTCGTCTTGTAGACCCAGCTTGTGAGACAGCCAAAGCTCAAAGATGGTCTGGACAGAGAACCAGGCTTGGAAGCAGTCTTGGGTGACTTGGTTCAAATCCCTCATTTTTCAGATGAGGAAAAACTGAAGCCCAAAGAGGGAACATGTCCTCCAGAGGTCACATGGTGGGTCAGCGGCAGAGTTGAGATGGAGATCCAGGACTTCTGATGCCCCACTGACCTGAGCAGCCTCCCCTGCCTGCACCGACCTCTTTCCACCTCCAGTGGCAGGAAAGTGTCCTCACCACTTACGGGGTGGCTGAGCACACATAAGTCAATGTTGTTAGGGGTACTGTGGACTGGAACAGAAGCGGTGTGTGTGTGGGAGGGGTGGGGGCCAGTATCATCACCAACCAGCTGATGGGAATGTGGACAAGCCTCTTAACCTCTCTGGGCCTCAGTTTCCTTATCTGCCTATTGGTCTGATAACAATATTTGCCGCCCAGGGTTGTGTGAAGATAAAATGAAATAATGAATATAGAAGACTATGGTAAATATTCAGATCATATCAATATATTTTCAAATATAGTTGAATCATTAGCACAATTAAATGGTACAAAGCAGGCACTCAATGGATTTCTCTGTTTGCTTGAGTGATTCAACTTGGTTGAAGCTAAAAGGTCAATATGCCCTTGAGTCTTGCCACATATTCCAATGCAATGAGCAACTTTGGGTGGAGGGAGCGAAGGCCTCTATCTAAATAAAATATCACCCAAGAGTGGGAACACATTAAGCCATGATCATCCATTAATAGCTGAACCTAATGAGCTTCCACAATGAACTCCAGCTGTCATCCAGCAGGCCCGGGAGGTAGGATGGGTAGAATTTGATGGGAAAAAGGAGCCATCCGGAGCACTGTCCTCCATCCCACCCGTCTATACACACACGGGACGGGGAGGGGTGGGGCAAGGAAGCAGCGGGCCCATGGGGAGGCGGGGGTTGTGGTAGCTGGTGTGGGCCTCAGGAGGAGCATGAAGATTCAGGGCCCTGCTGAAAGTGGGGAAGGAGGGATCAAAGAGAGACGCGCTCAGAGAGGGCACGAGGGGCCCGAAGTCCATCTTTGCCAACTTTAGTTCCACTCAGGCTGGACGCAGGAAGCGTTCATGGTCCCGAGCGTTCAGTGGAATGAGCTTAGCAGCTAGCACTGTGCAGGAGCTGGACCCCACCTTGCCCCTCTGCCTCACTGTGGAAGAAGCAGATATTGGCCCCCTAAAGCCAAGCCCCACAGCCCTTCCCACTGGGCTCCAAGTCCCTCCCTGGGCCCCCTTCTCACAACCTTCCCTTCCCAGAGGTGGGCCCAGGACCCAGCTTAGGGGCGAGAACTCACCCACGGTGGCTGCCATGCCAGGGGAGAACCGGTCCTCACAGAACCTCCTCAGGAAGGATGTCTTCCCGACAGCGGAGTCGCCCACAAACACAATCTTGAAGAGCCGGTCTGGGGTGGAGGGAGAGCCTTCCTCCTGTGGATGACAGACAATCCGGCGAACTCTGGGACAGTCGCTAGCCCCTGTTCCTGCCACAGCCTGCCCTTCACCCATCCCTACATGCCAGGGGAGGGTGGGGACCTGGCCTCCAGACCAGCACCAGGGAGGCTGCTCCAGCCTCAGATGCAGGTAGCTTTGGGCTCAGGGCACAGAGGCTCCTCCCAGCATCAGCAGGAGGGAAGAGAGACATTCATTCTGCTAACACTTGCTGCCTGCCCACTGTGCCAGGTCTGAAGACACAGGGACGGGAGGCAGGCTTGGTGTACAGTGGAGTGAAGGGGGCGGGCAGGTAAGCACACAAGCACAGCACAGTGTTGCACATGCTCTGGGGGCAGGGAGGAGGAGTTAAGGGTCCAGAGGAGGGGACTCTGGGCTGGGGCTTATTGAGGAGGCAGAGATTCGCTATGGAGGGGAAGGACAAGGCGGGTGTTTGCAGAGAGAAGGGGAGAGAGGGAAAAGAAGACTAATCTGTATCACCGGGGCGGGGGCATCCCAGGCTGAGGTAGGGAGCCTTTATTTCTGCCCCATCATTGAAGGCCTGGACTGAATGGAGGGAGGACACTCTCACCTCCATGTACATTGCCCTCTGTCTCATCTCATCAGCTTCCGTCTAGGATCCCCATCTGCCCTGGGGAACTAAGCTCAGGCAGTCTCCACTCGGTAGGCTGGGAAATCGACAGTGCCAGGCCACTGGGCAGAGCCCTTCAGAGTCAATCGGTCACTGCACTCCTTCTCCCCACCTGCTGCGGGAGGGACTGGGAGCGGCCTGCCCAACAGTCTGGGATGCTCAAGCCCAGCGGGGAATGGATGTGCTCTAGGACACTGAGCGAGTGACCGGCAGAGTGAGGGGCCACCTCCCAGCACAGGCTCCTTTCTGCCTAATGGTTCTTCTTTCCAGAGAGCTGCTTGCTTGCTGGCCCAAATCCTGCCTTCAGGCCCAGCTCAGCACTGCCTGGCCAATGAGGAGGCTCTTTTGAATCTATTCAGAAGTGCATTTGGGGGAATTAGCTCCTCTCATTGAGCAAATACTATAATGGAGTGGTAGCAGATATTAGCAGTACTTGAGTTTCAGAGAAAAGCCATTAACAGCCTTTTGGGGAGAAATCAATTCCATGCAGTACTTAGGAGAGAATTCAAGGTCAATTACAGGAATTTAAACTAAACTTAAAAAAAAAGAAACCTACCCTCAAAAACTACGTCCCCTGCCCCGTTTCCTTTCCTTGCCATGCACCAGGGCATCGATGCTCCGCCGGGCTCTGCTCAGCCTCTGCACCTCCACTTGTCATTTGTTTGAGACTGAAGCTCAGTGCAGCAATTGTGTACCCCGGGCACAGGGACAGGTGGGGAACAGACGCCCAGGGTGGGAGGGGATGGTCCTGGCTGCAGAGGCCGAGCCTGACTCTTAGCCCTGTGCTTCCCGCACCCCTGGCTCTGCCCCAGGAGAGCACTTTTTTTTGCAGGCAAAGGAAGATCAACACATTGATGGCTCAGCTCTGGGAAGGACCCACCTCACAGGTGCAGTGAACTCCCACTCACATTCATGCACTTAGCCTGTGTTCCCCCGGGGGACAATTCACAGTGAGACCACCAGATTGGGGGGGGGGGTGGAGAAAGACCTGTTTTCATCCTCCTTCCCACTACTCAAAAAGAAAAAGCTTTAAAAAAATAAAAGTAATACATGCTAATTTTTAAAATTAGGAAACACAGGAAAGTAGAGAGGAAAACAATAATTATTCATAATGTACCCTCCCAGCCTAAAGTGGTCACTATTCATATTTTGATGCATTTCTTCCAGGCTTTTTCTATATAGATGAAGGAATATATGTTTTATTGAGAGAGATTTGAGATAATATATATAATTTTACCCTACTTTCTCATATATTATTAAATTATAAATATTTTTGAGTCACTAAAGTTTTTTGAAAATGTGATTTTAACAGTGGTATAATATTTTATTGAGTTAACATACTCTAATTTATGTCTCTATTGTTGGACATTTTTTCAACTGTTTGCTATTACGCATAATACATTCTTGAGTTAAACCTCTGTCTGACTTCGGTTATTTCCTTAGGAAGGACTGCTAGAAGTAGAAGCGCAGGTCAAAGGAGGTGGTATTTTTAATTTCTTGATTCCTATCATCAAACTACTTTCTAGAAAGGTGGTACCAATTCATATCTCAGCAGCCTTGCACAGGAGGGGCTGCCTCACACACCCTTCAAAGAGCAGACCCTCTGCTGATGCTATTATGTGACTTCTAGTAGATCCTATCTCCTCTCTGCAGCAGTCTCTCTGTCCCCAGCTAAGTGGCAGCATAACCTGGTGAAGCGAGCACGGATGTGAGTGCATAGCAAGAAGGCTGGGCTCACGTCACTGTGGGGCTGGGCCAGGCCTCGTCCTCTGGGCCTCTACTTCCCCATCTGCCAAAGGGGAGAATAAATTTCTGACATGCCTAGTCAGACAACTGTGAGGATCAAATGTCACAGCAGACACGGATGCTCAGCCTCTTTTCTTTACCCCTGTCTCCTACTGACCTCTTGATACTTCTTTCACATTTAGGGGGACATCTTGGCGTATTTAAAACTGCCAGCAAGTGCAGGTCTGTGCGCTGAAGGAGACGTGGAAGGGCATGTAGGGGGGAGGGGTTCCCACCCAGCACATTTGTGTCACCCAGTACTCTGCTCTCCTCCTGGCCTAGGACCCTTCAGAGGAGTGATATGTAGGCACGAATCTTAATCCAGGCGCAGGAATGATAACCAATGCCAAGACCGTGTGCAGCAGCTGGAGAAGGCTTCTGGCACACATGCTACTACAGCCATTTGGAAGTGCTCAGGGTGGCGAGGGCTTGACTCTAAAGGGCTCCCACAGTGGGCAGGGAGGAGCCTCTTCACGTTGCCGCGGACGATGCTAACGCTGTTTTAGAAAGTCAAGTGAAGGGTGGACGGCTTGAGGAGCCTATTCGAAGGCCTGGGTCACAAACAAGGTGAGGAGCAGCAACATCATGCACCAGAGGGAGATGGCTCATATGGCCTCCTTCCCCCTAGAGAATTCAGCAGGCAGACCTGGTAGGGAGTGCACGGGGGGCATGGCAGTGGAGGATCCCACTGAAGGGAGGGGCAGGCAGGGCATTTGGGAATGAAAAGGGTGGTTAGCTGATTAAGAACTGAGAGGAAGATGATGGTACACAAACTTTCCAAAGCAGGGACTGGCCCTGTTGAGAACAGTTACAAAATGTAAGAGAAGATATGCAATTTTAAAAGTACGTGACATTTTATGCTAAGAGCCGAGCAGAAGGTCTATCTTATGTAGGTACTCAATAAATGCTTTTGAATCTGAATCAGAAAAGAGAGCACAGGGCAGGGAGTGGGGCAAACAACATAAGTTATAAGGAGAATTTACCAGGACCCCTGATTCTCCCCCACAACAGCCAGCTAAGCAGGAGAAGGTGGTATTTGACGGACACGAATACGGTGGATCACAAGGCCAGCTGTGCCTGACTTCTCAAGCTGCCTTTGGGGCTCCTGGGCTCAAATGGAAGAGCCAGGCACAGGAGCCATGTCCATGAGCCGAGGTGGGATATGCCCTACCTTCGACAGGGCTTCTTTCCCAACAGGCTGTCCTCGGGGAGAAGCGGGCGTGAGTTTCACAGGTTGGGCTTGCTGGATTGGTCCTTCCATCCCCTGGTCGGAGACCTCCCCCTCTTCTTGGCATTTGCTTAGCGGCTGCTCAAAGCCGCCATCCAGGAGCTGGGGCAGGGGGTCTTCTTCAATGGAGATGATTCTGCGGAGGGCCCGGGAGAGCGGACCCCCAGACCCTGGCTCCCTGGTTCCTGGCTCCTCTTCTGTCAGGGGATATCCACTCAGGCCCAGGGAGCTTCTCCTCCTTGGAATGCCAAACACTTCTTCTTCCTCTTCTGACTGGCTATTTTGGGGTGAGGAAGAAAGAAGAGTGGGGAGAATATTGTAAAATGTATCAGTATGGAAGCTGGAGGGACGTCTGACAGCTTTTGTGACAAACAGATAACTGAAGAGCAGCACGCCTTGGGGGCAGAGAGCTCCAGGAAAGGGAAAAAACAGACCCAGCATTCTTTAGCTCATTCACTCAACATACTTATAAAAGTGCCTGATGCTGAAGGTGATGATGATGATGAAGGTGATGACGAAGGTGATGGTAATGAAGGTGATGATGAAGGTGATATGAAGGTGATGATGAAGGTGATGATGATGGTGATGATGGAGGTGATGATGGAGGTGATGGTGATGAAGGTGATGATGTTGATTAGTACCAGGTATTACGCTAATGACACAGTCATAAACAGACGGACACAGCCCCTGTCTTCATGGAATGCTTGGCTTAGAGGGGGCTAAAGCAATAATGACACAACTAAATGCACTTTTACAAGCTGTGAGAAGTGCTATGAAGAAGTAAAGGGCGTGAGAAAGGAGCCTAACAGATCTGGAAATAAAACACCCTGGATTAACAATCAGGTGGCCTTGGTTCTGGTCCCAATGCCAGTCCCTACTGTGTGTCCTGAGGTAGCAGCCTTCAACTCTCCAAGCCTCAGTTTCCTCACCATAAAATGTGGCCCACCTGCCCTGGCTACCTCACAAATAAGACAATGCATAAAAACAGACATGGTGGCACAGCAGCCCTTGGCAATGTGAGCGAGGGGTCCCGCTGCTCTGGGGGAAGCTCCCCCACTATGCAGATGTCTACTGGCTCAGAGGCAGCTGCCCACTGGAGAATGGGCTTTGGGTCAGAAGGAAGCCAGGCAGGGCACCTCTACCTGTCTCTCCTTCCTTTCTCTTTCTCTTTTGGCGTCCCTAGAAGTCACAGTCTGGCTTCAGAGGCCTAAGTGCATATTTGCTTCCAGAAGTATCTGAGCATCAAGAACGAGGAAAAGCATAGGAGGTGGAGGGAATTGCGCAACCAGATGTAGGGCTGATGCACAGGCCGTATTTCAGAGGATTTGAGAGCAAAGGGCTCACAGATCCTTCCTGCACAGGAGTTTGTCTCAGGTCTTTGTGAACAATTAAAGTTGAGAAGTGTTTTAAAGGGGATGGAAGTTTGACAGGGAGGATCCTGAGTCCAAAACTGAAACACATACACACACCCATTGCACACACACACGCCTGTGCATACACACATACAGGCTCAAAGATTAGAAAAGAAAATGCAATGGGGATGAAGTGGTGATGAGACAGGGCTGAACGAGAAAGAAGGTTGGCGAAGGACACAGAATATGCAGAACAGACAAGCTCCCTTCATTCTGCCCCTGGCTTGTCATATTGATTACTCCTAAGGACCAATAACAGGAAGGACAAAGAAAAAAATGCGTGTATCACCCTTCAGAAGTTAAGTGCAATTCTGAAAGATATATTAAGATCTAGCGCTTGCTCACAAAATGGTGACTTAGTTTGGGTCCCCTGATATAAAATAACAGATTTGTAGCACTTCAAGGACCTTTCCACTCATTTATAAAATCATGTTTTTAATAGAAGATAACTGTCTTGTTTCCAACAAATTTGTTCTATATTCTAGCAAGCCTACCAACTGCTCACCCACTTTAGAACACAATTAGTATTCCCCTCCACTTTCACTCTGCTTACACACACAGGAGTGCATATGTGTGGGCACACGCGAGCAAGTGTGTGCGCACACACACACATACACACAGCATGTTTTTTCAAAGGCCTTGCAACCAGAAAAGAAATGGCCACTAAAACGGCCCTAAAATGAAACATTTCTTGGAAAAACCTTTTTATCTGGGAAATTCTCAAGCACTACTGACATTCTGTAATACCTTCAGCTTCGCATGACTAAGTTCAAGTTTTTGGTTTTGCCACCAAACGCCATGCAATGGAGAGCAGTCCCCTCTGCCAAAGTCAGTACTGGAATTCAGGGTTCACATTTGCTGCTTCCTCGATTATCGTCTGTCTCCTCCACTCAGCCACAAGCTCCATGAAAGCAGAGGTGTTTGCTCATCGCTGTATACTCAGCACATAGCCCATATCTTGTACATAGCAGGCACTCAAAAATGGATATTAATGGCAGGACTCATGTCTAATTTATCTTTGGAGTCTTCACAGAACTCAGAAGAATGTCTGGCACAGAGCAGGTAATCAGTAAATGCTTGTTGAATGAATATCTTCAGTTCTGAGGAACCAAGTGGCCAACAATTATTGCAAAAAATTGGCTCCCAAATTGTATCTTACTGTTCAGCTATTCAGAAAAGGAATTCATGATGATCAGGTCCAAAGACTTGACTGATCAGCTGATTGACAATCGCAGGGTCACCTCCCCTTTGCATATCTGTTTATGTCATGCTTGCCATCCTCAGGATCTCCTACATGAGCAAATTCACACACTTCCTCCCTGGGTTTGATACTTAGGGATCTGGCTGCCTCTCCCTCTCTGCGACCACCTATGTGGATGGAGCACATGCCAAAAAGAAGAGAGTGCAGGGGACTGGCTTCTCTCTCTCAGTGAGCAATGAGTGAGCCACTCCTCTGTGGACTCAGACTCAATCACGCAACAAAACATGTTATCTTTGAGTAAATTAAATACCAATCATTGGAAGGACTCTGTCAAGCACAGGCCCTGTTCTTGTCTGTAAAGGAGTTCTACTATTGGAGATTCTATACTGCACTTTAGTTACCCTGCAGAGCCCAAACAGTCATGTCCCTGAAAAACCAAGTGCCTCATTCTGCTCCACAGATAGCAGAGCATCGTCCAGCCACACCCTCCATCTCTCTCCTGTGACCCCTCTCGTCCTCTCTCTCTCTCCTCTGCTGATATACAGCACCTCTTCAGTCCCTCTCTGCAGGCACACACTAGGTGGGGCAGCCCCAGAAGACAATGTCTTGTCCTAGAGGCTTGCTCTGCACAGTCCTCCTCCCACTTGGATGTCAGAACAGGAAGGGACATGTCCTCCAAGATTCAAGGGGAGTGAGTACAGCTGACTCCAGGGCCACTTCTCGAGGGCCAGTCTGCACTCAGCATGGGCTCAGAGCCTGCTCCCAATGAGTGCAAGATGAATGAACAGATAATGAATGAACAAATAGAGGAACACTTACCTTGTAAGGATCCCTCTGCCATCCATGTATTTGCCTATCACAGAGCCAGATCTCTGTTTCCAGCTTGCTTTGGGGGCAGCTGTGTTTGCCTTGGCTGCCTTATCTTTCTGCAGAAATACAAAATGCCCTCAGATCCATGCCTGCTGATTTGTCCCAATGTTTGAGCAAAAAGGGCTCAACTTTCCCACCTTATAGGTCAGGCTCTAAACAAAACTCTGAAGAAAGCAAGCAATGTTCTGGTCTCCCTGTTAGCATTCTCCACTCTTTCCTTTTGCCATCATCTCTCACCAGAATCCGTCCATCTCCTGTCTAATAATCTAATCAAATGAGCCAATACACGGTTTAGAGCCTGGGGTCCTTCACAGGAGCTATCTTTCACAGGAGTACTGATAATTGCAAGAGGACAAACAAGAAGAGATAAATGTGGAATGCATAGGAAAGATATTTATGGGAAGAAAAGACCCTGTGCATCTTTAAATCACACTCTTCTGTGTGGCCTCAATTCTTCTTTATTTCCGAAGTCCCAGATACGAGAAAGGGACTAGCCCAAAGGATCAATTAGTCCAGTGCCCGGTGCACAGCTACTAAGCTAGCATAAGGTAGTTCAGATCTTTTGTGGAAGTAGGCTGGGTGTAGATAAAATGCTCATACATCTGTAACAGAGAACCTGGGTGGAGTGGGGGCTTCCAACCCTCTTTGCCAATGCTCCCTAACAGATGTCTTCCAGGAGATGAGAGGGAGTTAGCTCGTAGGAAGAATCTCTTATTAACCAGCCACCCTCATGATTCCCAGTGATCCTTAATGAGAGAGGGAGGGGTTGCCATACTCCCAGGGCCCCTGAAGTCATGGCTATAATGATTCCAAATTAATCTTTAATTATTATTCAGCATGAACACGATTTTATCCTTCTTTCTTCTATTCCCCACTAGGGTTCTTAATTCCACTCCCTTTTCAAAGCAAAATGAGTTTGGCAGGTGAAGGGAAGCGAGGTCAAGGGATTAGGGTGACATTTGGTCAGAGGTTTTAAAATAAATTCTGTGTTACTTCAAAAACAATTATAACTATTATCATTATCAAGCAAACACCTGTAGGCTTAAGCTCTGCTCCAGTGCTGCACATGGGTGGGCAGGAGGGATGTTCGCTGCCAGTCAGCGATAGAAAAGAAATGGTTGTGTGACAGTCCTTCAGGGATTTGCAGGTATAAACCAGGTCAGACCTAATTCACAGCAAACTAGCTGCCTTACACTGACCACATTTAGGACACTGTTCAGCTAAGGGTCCAGGGCAAGACCTCCTCTTTCCAAGGGTTCTTCTAAAAAATCCCTACAATATGGAAAAACGGATAGGGATTCTCTTATCTCATGTGATAGTCAGGGTCATGGTCTAAGGAGGCTGATGACTTGCCTAAGGACACACACGTAATTCATGGTGTGATAATCCTGATAATTAGAAAGTTGCGTTAGTCAATTCTGCCTCCCTCTTTCTTCCCTTCAGGGCATCCAACAGCTCCTGTCTAAAGGGGAATGTGGTATCCTAGATTTTGTTTAATACAGCCCAAAGTGAAGATCTTTAAATAAACATAGAATCTTCGTGCTATTTGGGAAAATATATAAGTATGGTTCTCAGGTATGGAGGGACAGGGGTGCCCATAGGGTAAAAAAAATTGTACATAAAATCAACTACGTAAATTGTGAAATATACATGTTTAATTTGTTCTATGACAGTGTAAAAATGTAGATTTTCATCAAGAGATCAAAATTTTAATGAAGAAAAAAACTGGGCATTTTGGTTTAAAAGTGATCATGACATTTCAACTGCGCCATCTCATGGATAGAACTATCATTTCTGCATCCACGAAATGTGTGACCCTCCCAAATATTTTAGTCTCGTTATGCCAAGAGGAAAATGTGTTATTTCATGGAAATTTAACACATTGTTACCCAGTAGGCCACCCTGTATCTTTATGACTTTCAATAAATCTTATGCCATCGTCCTGCCCACATAAAAAGGAGCGACCAGATCTCAAGGCTCAGGACATTCTATACCAGTCCCAGCATGGGTTCTGGCTGCCACTGGACTCCAGTCCTTGTCTTGCCCCCCAGGGAAGGGAGCACCGGCCAATTACCTGAAAACATATGTCCTGTTCATCCCGAAGGTGTTTGTTCCTTTCCCTGTGGGTGGAAAAGGGGGATCTATTCAAACACGGAGTTTGCAGTCGACAGATCCAATAGCAGCCGGTTTGCCAGTCAGATGGTGCAGAGGAAGGCTTGGTGTGGAAGGCCCAGGGAGCTTGTGGAACCTCTTTCCTTAGGGACTGTGGCTAACGGCAGAGGGTAGTTTGTGTGTAAATCAGCTCAGAGGTAGGAGGATAGACAGAAGGGCCTGTGATACCCTTCAGGATCACACACTGGTCTATCCTATCACTAGGGGGAGCCTCCTCCAGAGGGTGAGTGACCAGGATTTCCTGCTCCGCCTGTGAACTTGCTTTTGGGCCTTCTGACCCATTCATTCATTCACGCCCGCATGCATTCACTCAACAAATGGCTCCTGGGACCCACTGCAAGCCAGGCACTGTCCTAGCTATCAAGGGCACACCGATGAACAAAAGAGAATGTTCCTGTTCTCAGGGCATTTGTATTTAGTGCAGGGATAATTGCTATTGAGAAAAATAAAGTGAGCAAGTGGAATAAAGAGTGCCAGAGGGTGGAGCGTATTTCAATAGGGCCGTCAGGGAGACCTCACTGAGTAGGCGGCATCTGAGCAGAGGCTTGAAGGAGGAGAGAGGAGCTCTGCAGAGATCTGGGTGAAGAGCATTGCAGGCAGAGGGAACAGCAAGGGCAAAGCCTGGGGTTGGGACACTTGGTGTGCGTGAGGAACAGAAAGAAGGGCAGCAGAGGGAAAGTAGTTCAGAAATGAGATCAGAGAAAAGACAGAGGGAGGAGTGGGGACCTGCCATTCATGGCCTGGGGCCACTGCAAGAACTTTGATTTTTACTCCAAATGAGATATGCAGCCATTAGGAGTGGGGGGGATGGCAGAAGAGTGTCCTGGCCTGACTCAAGTTTTAAAAGGAGCCCTACAGAAGCTGTGCTAGGAATAGATTGCGGGTACACGGAGAGGCCCTGAGAATTCGCCAATGTTTTAAGCAACATGGAGGCCCTTGGTTCCACTCTTAGTGGACTCGTGGTAGAAAAAGCCCGCCTGGAGGGTGGAGAACGTCATGACAGGAAATGGAGACAGTGAAAGTGGATGTAAACAATTCTTTTCAAATTTTGTAGAAAGCGATTAAAGAAATGGAAAGTAGCTGGATGGGCAGGTGCGGACAAGAGATATTAGACAAGAAATATTATCGTGTATTCGTCAGTCTCTCCAAGAGAGAAAAAAACCGATGATGGAGTAGGGAGAGAAGGAACGCTGGAATGGTCCTTGAGGAAGATGGGATCAAATTCTTTGCCAGGCCCGTGGGGAGTTCATCCACCATCAGAGAAGCAGAGACATGGACAAGGACGGCAGAGGAGGATGCCCTCATGTGACGGTTCTGGCGTCTCCATGAAATAGGAGCCTAAGTGTGAGGTGGGGAAGGAGATGTTAGAGGTTAAAGGAAAGAGCAGAGTGGGAAGTGAGTGGACTTGGGGATGGAGCGTGACCGCAGAATGCACTTGAGGTTAATGGCTGGGAATCTCACCTACTAAAGCAAGAGGCTGAGAGGGTGGGCCAGGTGACCTCTGTGCAGTTTTGTGATTCTCTGCCTCTTCTGGCCAGAGGCCTCTCTGAGCATCAGGACTTTTGAAGGGGAAGGGAGGGCAGGCAGCATTCCACCTCATCATTGTAAGACATCATTGCCACTGCCCAGCACCCACTGATGGCAGGCCCTCCACTACATGTGCTGTGCTGTAGGCAGAGGTTCGAGGTGGGCTGGAGTACCGACCTCAGTTCCCCAGGCTTAGAGAAAACACTAGGAACGTGCCGGGGTTGTTTTGTACCAGCTCTATGCATCCAGTGAGCAGGCAGGCACACAGCCAGGGCCTTCTGAACAAGCTGGAAGGGACAAAGAGGGTATTTCATAAACCCTGAGAATGGCGGAGTGAGCTTCTCAGGTCAGAAGGAGCCTGGCTCTGTGCGGCAGCGATGTCAGCAGCCCTGCACGTGTTGGGGGCTGGGGAGCCCTAGGTGCCACAGCGTTGTCAGGGAGTGTGCTGCGTGTGTCCTCCTGTGGGCAGCCATCTCCAGGCAGAAGCTTCAGTACTGAAAGTAATGCTATTCTCTTTAAACATGTCGGCCTTCCTTCTCCTCACTGCCCCGCTGTGACGCCACTCACATATGTCATCTAATTCCCACAAGAAGCCTGTGAGGGAGGCATGAGAAAATGAAGACTCCAGCTGGTTAAGGCAACTGCCCAGGGTCAGATAAGGCGATGAGGGGCAGTGCTGGGTCTTGAACCAGATCCAGCTCCAAAACACTTGTTCCTGAGCCAGCCCTGATGGCCTAGTGGTTAAAGTTTGGCGCTCTCACCCCTCGCGTGGCATGGGTTGGCTTCCCGGTCGCGGAACCACACCACTTATCTGTCAGTTGCCATGCTGTGGTGGTGGTTCACATAGAAGAACTAGAAGGACTTACAACTAGGATATACAACCACGCGCTGGGGCTTTGGGGAGGGAAAAAAAACTCTTGTTCCCAACTATGTGCCTGGAAATTGCCCCCATCTGCCTTAGGAGGGAGTCCCCTCCTTGCCTGTCACATCCCAGCCCTCGTCCTGACTCCACCACCATCCTCCCCTGCCCCCAGTTTTCTCTCTCCTTGATTCCAGTTCCCTGCTGTTCTCAGTCACTACCTGGGGGTTTCTCCGTGGAGGAAAATCTGCCGTGGGGCGTTCCCCTCCAAAGCCCACCTTCCTCAGCAGCAAAGGCCAAGCTTGGTGCCCAAGCGCTAGCAGAGAAGGCTCCGGGCGTGTGGTGCTGCACACGTGCGTGTCTCCGTTAGAGAGACCCCTAAGCAGAGTGCTGCCTTGTCATCTCCCTGCTCACTCGCTTTGAATCTGCCCTTTTATTTTTCCTAAGTGCAATAGAAAAAAGGAAAAAAACAAAAACTCGTCCTTGTACATCTTGTTCTCTTCCTTTCACTAAAGCTTTCCTGAGACTCAAGTCTTTCTCTCAAATGGACTAGAACTTGGCCACCTAAGAACCCCCTTCCCTCTCCTCAGCCTTCGAAGGCCCATTTGAATCATGTATTGAGTGAAAAAAATCTGAAATGCATTCAGTTTGAAGCACTTTTCAATTTGGCAGCGTCAGAGATGCCAGACACAGTGACTTTACCTTGCTCTCATATTAAAAAAAAACAACAAAACTTCATAATGTACCTGATTCAAAACCACTTGCACTTTAACAATCAGAACCCAAAGTCCTTTTGCGTCGTCACCACTCCCCAGAGATGTCTGGTAGGTGGCAGGGACAGTAACTTAGGAAACTCACAGGCAAAATTGAAAATTCCCTTTCCCCACATAGGTCTGGTGGGTTTTTTTGGGCACATTCCAGACCAATGAACTTTGAGTTTACGGCGAGTTCTAGCAGGCTGAGGAACTCCTCAACTCCTTTCTCAGTGCTCTGTTTGTGATTCATTTACTCATTCAACGAGCATTAACAGAATATGGCAGAAGAAAGAGAGTCAGCCATATATGGATCTTGATTCTAGCTTTGGGTAAACTATGTCATTTCTCTAATATCGACTTCCTCATCAGTTCACTCCTGTATTAGCAATGGCCCTACTCTCCTGAGTTTTGCTAAAGATGAAAGGGATCCTTTATCTGGCATAGAGTAGATGCTCAATAAATTCAGTTCCTTCCTACTTGAGCGAGCACTGAGCAAGGTACTGTGAGAGACACGAGGAAGAACGAGGCAGAGCCTACTCGCAGAGGTATACACTGGAGAGGGAGGTGGGCGTGTGTGTAAATGGACCAAACCTGACAGAGAGGGTGTACTCAGCTGTGTGAACAATGCGATGGGGACCAGGGGAAGGAGGGCGCTCTCTCAGCAGCAGCTATGTTTTTCCAGCACGTAGGCAGGGAAGACTCAGACCGGCCCTTCCAACCTGAGGCGCCTGGGACGGGCTGTCAGAACACGTCGAGCGCTGACCCACCTCAGGAAATCCAGCTGCTTCAGGAGCCCGGACTTCTCCCGCTGCAGACTCTCCGTCACACGGTACACTTCCCTGAGGAGGAGGCAAACGGCGGGGGTGAGCGACTGGTCTGGGAGGTGAGCTTCCAGGTACGAGGCGCGGTGCTGGAGGTGGCCCCAGGACCCCACACTGGACCCCAGCAGGTGGTGCCCCGCACCGGGGACAGAGGGATTAGAGGAGCACGGCCCTCCGCTGGAGAGCACCGGCTGTGTGCGGCGGCTGACAGCCGTGATCTCAGTCTGTCATCCCGGACACGCCATTAGGAAGGGGAAAGTATCCCCATTTTACAGACACAGTCAAAGAGGTTTGCTAACTGTCCCCAGGTCACATAGACAATTCCTGACCGAGCCAGGGTCCTAATCTAGACCTCCTACCCCAGACCTGCTCATTCCACAGCCATTTCACATGCCACTGGCGAATGCGCCCGATAACCGCACTGTTCTCCAGGCTCCCCACGGCCCTGCCCTCCCCAGAATTCAGGGAGTTCGTCAACATTCTTCTCCAGCCCAGTCTTGGAGGGTGAGCGCAGAACTAGTATTCTTTCCCCCAGAAGCTGGTTTAGTTTGCTGTCAGGAGCTCTTGAAGAACCATTTCCCCTTCCCCCTTCTTCTCTCTGAAGTCTCCAATCTCTTCCCAGATATCTGGAATTTCCACTGTTGGTCATTCATTTCTTTAACTTAGGATTTATCTCTAGCTATAAAGCGGAGATTTAATGTATCAGTGATCATCAGTCACTGACAGCACAGTGTGAACGCATCAAGCACATGGGGAGTTTTGAGGAAGGGGAGAGAAGCTGAGAGTTATGGGGTGAGAGGGGGCTGGAGGCAAGAGGGCAACTCGGCTGGGAGGCAGGCCTGTGTCTGGTTTGTTTACATCTGTATCCTCACTGCCATGCTGGCAGGGAGGCATAGTCAACAAACAGGAGCAGCAGGAAAGAAAGGAGTGAGGCTGGAGAGGAGGGCCAGGGAGGGAAGAAGGCAGGCAGGGCTGGAGGGAAGAAGGGGGGGAGGAAGGAAAGAAGGGGTGAGTTGAGATTGGTATTCAGCACCACTCAGAGAAGAAAGGAACAAAATAGAGCGGAATTGGGTGACACTGGAAAACAAACCTTGATTAACTTCACAATTGTGCCTCTGTCTTTCCCTCTGTGCTCTGCACTATGGTTCAGAAATTTTTAAGTTGTCCCCCAAGCTTAGCGCAAAGGGTCCACAGTTCCACATTTCCAAACCACGGCATAGCTTCTAGAGTAGGGAGCATCTTATAGCCTGATAAATGCGTCACTCTCCATGGGCTCTCAGGGCTGCCTGGACTGTGAACACTCCGGGCTGGCCAAGGACAGTCACCCCGCTCCACCCTACCCATGTCATTACTGACCTGGCAAAAACAGCACCCGTGTGCTGGGTGCACAGCACTCTCTTGCCGTGCTTGCAATCATCTGATTCCCTAAGAGGTAGCTGTGGCTTTCTCTCCCCTTTACAGAATAATTTTAAGTCAATTTACGACAATAACAGTCTGAATCAAATTGTAAGTCTCACCAAATTGTAAGACAATCCTAATTAAGCAACAAAACTTCTCTGGCTCCTGCAGAGCTGCAAATTCCCAACATTTTATTACCAATTATATTTAATTTCAACTTGAGGGAAAACAATGTATTTCCCACTATCCAAACTGGGTCCCCAAAACCCTGTCCTGGGTTCTGCTCTGAGCAGCACCACGTGAGCAGAGCAGCCTGCTGGCTGTCCCTGTGCCCTCGAGCCAGGACTGCCTGCCCCGGCTCTGTGGCTCCCCCACCCGACCCTGGGTCCTGCTTCTCTCTAGGGGCAGCCGGGAGCAGACAGCTTTTCCTCCCCCGCTAAGGAAAACCACTCTTTGGGGATCTTAGTTCTGGGTTCTCACAGAGTGTTTGACTGAGGAGCCAATTCCTAAAGAACAAGGCATTCCAGGTCCTCTCTGGCCCTCTTTACACAGCCCCAGGTGACCGCTGCTGCTGTTATAAACATTCACATATGTATACACGTATACAGTCCATATTGATGCAAAGATGTGTCTACTTGTCTGGTAGACATACATCTATCTGGAAATATATACACACACAAACACTTATTCAGATTTTTTGTGTTAAAAAAAAAAAGCATTTCTGAAACAAAAATGACACCTGGATATTTGACTAACCGACCTTTAAAGTTTTCCAACCTAGAATTCTACGAGTTTCTATCCGGGTAATACGTGAGCTGAAAGGGAAAGAACTGGCCGTTTTTCGTGGTGTGATGGGTGAGAGGATCGTGGCTGCCTTTACAGAACTGCTGCTGGCTTCATCTGTAGGAGAGGGAGGCGATACAGAGCACTCTCCAGAATATACTGTCAAGTGACAAATGCCGGCAAACGCAGAACGGCGTGCTACCATTTTGCAAATGAAAGTTGTGTGTGTGTTATGTCTATGCGTGTGTGAGTGCATATGCACGTACGTGTACTTGCACATGCACAGAATACTATGGAAGGATTCACACGAAATCGTGACTGGTGGCTTCTAGGTGACTGCAGGCTGGGGGTCATGGGTGGGGGGCAAACCTCTTTTTGAGGTGCATATCCTTTTGTGCCGTTTGAATTTTGTGCCTTGTCATAAACTACCTACCCAGAAGAAAAGTTGATTAACAAAATAGAGAGGTGCTGCTTTTCAGCTGACCTTCATCTTTATATAATTTCCCCTGCTTGATTGTTCCTTCTTTATCTTATTTTAAAATCTAGTTCTCCTTCCTCCAGCATCTTCAGAGAACAAGAAAATTAATTTTGCCCATTCTGAATTCTAGCTGATAAATGACTAAGTCTGTTTATCTTGGAACCCCATCCTCTCCCCTTCCAGTTGCTTCAGAGCAGCATCAGGCAGCTTGACATTGTTGGGGGAAGCACAGGATATCAGGAGAACTAGGCTCTGTCCCTGTTCGCTGGCACTAACTAGCTGTGTGGCTTTGGGTTGGTCACTACACCTCTCTGAGCCTCAGTTTCTTCATTTACAAAATGAAGAGGTGGATTAGAGCATTAAGGTTGTATCAGTACCGTTGGTCTGGGATTCTGTGCTATGGAGAACAAGCTAAGGCTCTCACTGTCCTTCCCTCCCGACCGTCCTCCCTGGACAGGACATGCTGCACAAGACATTGCAAGCTTCTTGAAAACAAGTCGTGAAGGTTCTGGAATAATTTCTCTCTCCCTCCCACCCCACCCTCCCTCTTTTTCAATTCCCAACCTCTAGAGATTGTGTCTCAGGCTTGGTTAATTAAGATAAGCCTTCAGAAAGATTTTAATCCTCATGCTGAGATGCGACGCTGTTCCAGCACTGGGTGCTTCTTTCCATTTACTGTTCTAATGCTTGTGCCTTCAGATGTTTGCTGCTTTTAGAACTTGATTGAATTTTAAGAGCCTGAATCCTTAATTCTGTTGGTAGAGTTAAATGCCTGTGCCTTGTTGACCTGCGCTCAATGAGGAGGAACTGATTCTGCTCGTTTACAATGAAATACCCTGTCCTTCCACTGGTCCTCCAAGAATCGGAATGGAGGGGTTTTAAGTCAGCTACTTGGGAATGTATATATTTTTAACTGGATGTATATATTTTTAACTAATTTTAATGTCTTACTAAGGTAAAACTCCAAATCCAAACCCATTTCCTCCCTCTCACCCTTGACAATTGTCCCAAAAAGTAGAGGACACCACACAGGAGCGAGATGCAGAACAACTGGATTCAGGCTGAGGGACCGACATTTTGCCAACAGTCAGAGTGAGGGCCTTCACTTTTGAATGAGGAGAGTTAACATATGTAAAACATCAGGCATTGGTAAGTAATACTGCCCTTTTCTCTGAAATCAGACTTTCTGTACTACTTTGCACAGGACCACACACACAATTACATAATGCAGAATGAATGAATGAATGAAAGAGTGCATGAACAAATGAGTGAGTGAACCATGGCCAGTCCTACTCCTGTGTAAATATTTTCTGGCTGGCTCAATATTCACTGGCGGGAGTCAGCAAGATGTATCTAGCACTTAGCATCTTGGGACACTTACTTAAAACCTCTGAACCTCAGTTTCCTCCGCCACAGATTAGAGTTGATAATAATAGCACCTGCCACATCAGGATGCTGGAAAGGTCAATGAGATAATGTCGAATTATCGACACCAGTGAGATATGTCGAATGCCCACCACAGCACCTGGCACAGAGGATAATGTCAATAAACATTTGTCAGATGAATAAGTAAATGAGTCTATGGAGAAATGAACAAACACATAAACAAGTGAGATTCCTCTCCCTGGGCCTTGGAGTGCATTTGCTCTCCAAACATGACACTCCCAAGACAAGATCAATGACTGATTCTGCAGTGACTCTGCCAGAAGGTACAGCCCCACCCTTGAATCTTCCTCACTGTGCCTCTCCCTAGCAAGCTGAACCCGATGGCTGGACACCAAAAGCAGTTTATTAGCAAACCAGGCCCTGAGAGAGGTGGGGTTCCCCTCCCCATACAGAGAAACACTGGTGGAAAAAAAGATGGGGAGAGCTGGAGTGAAGACTCCCGGGCACTGTCACATGCCCATCAGATTATACACTGACCTTGCAAGTCTGCCTCCTTCACTCCCATCCACCCTGGTCGCCAAGTCTCTGAACTCCGACAGGCACATATGGTCTGTCCGCTCACTCAGCATTATATGTGTTGGGTGGATAACATGTCTTTCTAATCGCATAATAAATTTTCTGAGAACAGGGCTGTATATTGCTTGTCAGTCCTAGGTAATGTGTGGCACAGTGCAGGTCTGCTTACTAGGCTCAGAATCGTAGAAGAGATCTCAGGGAGCAAAGAGCCCCTATCCCCATTTTACAGGCAAGGAAACGGAGTCTGGGAGAGGGGAGATCATATGCTCACAGCAGGGGATGGAGTTGGAGAGCAGCGATAGGGATATGCGAAGGCCAGACTCACATCTCCTTCTCCTGGTGGAGTTTGCAGGCCTCTTGCTGGAGGCTTTCCAACTGCTGCTGGGCATCCTGCAGCTCCCGAGAGGTCCGCTCCAGCTCCTGGGCCAGCTCCTGGTTCGTGAGTTTCAGCTTGGTATTCTCAGCCTTGGTTTCATGCTTGTCATTATGCAGGGCTGTGCACTGGCCTTCCAGCTGGAAGGAAGGGTGAGAAGAGGGAAATGATGAGCAACCACCATCATCAGAGGCTGGTCCACCCGGGCCTCACCCTGCTTTCTCCACCTGGTGGGCAGGAACCGTCACTGCTACCCCTCACTGCTCTCAAGCCTCAATAGGCTTTGTCCTGCTCCTTAATTCACACATATACACTTCTGGAGGCAGGAAGGAGTTCCAGAGCACATCTTGTCTCTCCCCTGTCTCCACAGGGCTACTAAACAGTCCAGGGGGAGCTGATTATCATCATCACCATCATCTCATTAATGGTCTCATCAATGGTCATCTCCTCAATGGTCTTGAGATCTAACCTAAATCCCTCAAGTTGTCATTTAAACCAATTTCTTTTCTTTAGCCCTGATGGAGATGGAGAACAGCTAAGTGGCGTTCTTCATAAACCCATCCTTCCCGATTTCAAATACTGATACTAAATCCATTTCTTCCTTTTTCTTTTCTCAGCTGAATAAGTCAATTCTTTTAATCTAGAGAAGGTTTTTATGGTAGCCAGAAACCCGCGAAATTCTTGGGAAATAGCTAAAACAGGTCAAACCAAACATACCTTTTTCTCATGTCCCTCAAGCACCCGAAAACCCTGCATTTTTATAACTTCAGCTTTTCTTGGCTGATGATTATGCTTTGCAGAGCTTCCAACCCTCTCACCAGAGGAGGAATCAAACCAAGGCAAATATGTCATAATAAATTTAGTTTAATGAATGTGGTCAGTAAGGGGAGGAGGAAGCAACAACAAGAAATTTTGTGTGATTCTCAAGAGGCTCCTGAGTAATCAGGCAAGCGTGCAGTAATTAAATTGAGTGGCGGTCATTCATTTGAGGAATACATCTAATCGGTAAGAACTTAATGCATGACAGTGGGGAGGAGAAGGAGGAGGAGAAGCAAGGTTCCACTATGGAAGGGGGTCTGGGAAGGCAGATGGCAGTTGTGGGAGTTGAAAGCATCTTGCTGCAGGAAGAAAGAAACCAAAACCCAGAGGCTGGGAACTAGCAGAAGTGGAACAGTCTCTAGCCCTAGCACGGGTGTCTTCAGGCACAGATAAATGTGTCGCTAAAAATAGCCCTCTCTATTCAAACGGAAGCAATGTGTCTGGGCCTGTCCAGGGATGGATTCCTTCCAGCACCAGACAAAACAAAACAAGAGGCCATGTGATGCCCTGGCCTCTCTCCCCGACCAGCCCCTGCTTGGAGAGGAGGCTGCGAGCATGAGGTTTGCCTCAGTAATCACTCTCCTGGGGTCATTAGCCAGCTGTTCCAGCCATGGTGGGTGGACACTGCCCTGCACCGTGCACCACCCAGCTTGCCTCCTGGGGGCTCAGGTGCATCAGAGGAGCGTCTAGTGTCTGCATCCATTCTGCAGGGTGAAGGAACAGACACAAAGGAGGCTGACCAACCTTGTCCGGGCAAATGGGAAGACAGGGGACGGACAAATTGATCTTGAAGAGCCTCCTCTTCTGACTGGAGGCATCCACGGCCATCCTGGCGAGGAGACATCACTGTCTGCAGCCTCCCCCAAAGTATCAGAGACCACATCCCTTGTACCTCAGCATCCTCCTCATATCTTATACAGGATGCAGCAAACAAATTAACATTTTGGCACTCTGGTGGCTCCTGGGAATAATTATACCACAATGTTTGCAGATATCTCAAGGGAGAATTCTTGGCAACTTTTCCAAGTTAAACACCTGGCACTAGAAAAGTAAAGGCTTTATCTTAGGATCATCTGTGATTTCAAATGCTATCTTTTGTACAGCTAAATGGTTTTCAGAGTTAAAAAAAAAAAAGAAAAGGTGTCCTTAAAAGTGAATGACAGGGAGGGCGCTGGCCTGTGGCACAGCGATTAAGTGCGCACGCTCCGCTTCAGCCGCCCGGGGTTCGCAGGTTCGGATCCCGGGCACAGACGGATGCACCGCTTGTCAGGCCATGCTGTGGTGGCGTCCCATATAAAGTAGAGGAAGATGGGCATGGATGTTAGCTCAGGGCCAGTCTTCCTCAGCAAAAAGAGGAAGATTGGCATTGGATGTTAGCTCAGCGCTAGTCTTCCTCACATACACACACACAAAAAGTGGCAGGGAAAATGGGCAAGAGCCAGAGCAGACGATGGAGTGAGAGCCAGGCACTCTGAACTCACTGACAAGCGTACCCGTTTCTGCTTCTGGATGAGGTGCTCCAGCTCCTGCTCCTTAGATAACAGCTTCTGTTCCAGTTCCTGACTGCGGGCCTGAAACCGCTCCGTGTCCTGCCGAGCCAGAAAGAGGGACACGTGAGGCCCAAATGCTCCTAGGATGGAGATGTTTTCCCACCTTGAACCAGCTCAGCAGCAGAGCCCGTCCGTTTGGGCTCTGTGCAACTTGGTCATCATGACTGATGACCGTGCGGGCCCCTTGATAAAGTAGCAGGGTCAGCTAGAGGGGGAATACTGAACAGGGAGAACAGACAGGGGCATGAGTTCGAATCTCAGGCCTCAGTCTCTTCATCTGTAAATTATGGGGTGGAATATTCTGGACGTAACTTGGATATTCTGTTCCATGTTGGGCACTGTGATTCAATCTCTTAAACTGCCCTCACTCTGGAAACACAGGGGCATCACTTCTTCCTCTCGAGGGTCTAGGCCCTCACTGTTTTCCACCGTGACTGAGGTGTCCCAGGCCCTGCTCCTCATGATGTCTCTGCCCCCATGCTCAACAGCCCCTCCCCTCCTGCCCCAGAACTGGGCATCCCCACTCAGGGATGCAGAGGCCCTGATGATGCAGGTGTGAAGGGACCTGGTTGTGGGATAGAGAAGAAAGTGTGTGGGCTGTTAGGATGCCTGATACTCCCAACAGAGCCTGATCTGGTGTAAGGGCCCTGCACTGGGCGTCAGGACACTCGGGTTCCAGCCCTGGCCTTGCCCACCTGACTTGCTTCATTCTTCTACATCATTGTATCTTTGTTCACAGAATAGAAACAAAAATATCCATGCCGCCTGCCGCTCTCCACTTGCCTGAAGGCAGAACAGAGGTGCCACATGCAGGAAGAGAAGACACCATTACAACCATCACATAACTCACTACAGGAGCCCCCTGGGGTTCCCCCTTCCCAAGGAGCCGTGAGAGGCTGCACTAGAGGCAGCTGTGTCCCGGCTAGTAGGCACGGGGTGACAGCAGCAGCAGCAGAGCGGGGAACACAGCTGCTCTCAGGGCAAAGGCCTCTGGACACCTCTATTCAAAGGCTCAGGATACTTCCCGGGCTCATCATCTGTAGACTCCACCTGGTTCCTCTGCCCATTTTCAAGCAGGTAAATGGAGCTCAGGGAGAGCCTGTGATTGTCCTCACGTCAATCACAGGCAACGGCAGAGGCAGGACTGGACCAGGAGGTTCCTGCTCCCAACTTTTGTTACCAGGGAACCCGCTTCATTCAGCTTGGCTGCCGCTCACGGAGTAGGTGCCCGTGAACAGTGCTGGGAGGCGAGCAGCTCCACAATTCCCACGCAGATGCTGCATCCCCACCTTGGGCCAGCGGACTGTCTTATTGCCCCTGCCAGCACAGAGCATAGAGCGGGTCTGTTATCCTGGAGCTGGAGTGTGCAAGTGATGAAGTATTCCCCTCATGGTCAACAAACTGCTAAATGTAGAGCCAGAATCCAAACCCCCAGCCAGAACGTCCAGCCTTTGCCATGCTGTCATAAACTGTAATACCACTGGCCTCACGCTGCGGCCAGGCAAATGCTTGTGTATCCAAAGCCTTAGTAGCATGGCCAAACACATCTTACCAGTTTCCATGTTTATGCAAAAAGCATAAGGCTAGCACTGAGCTTAAAAGTCATTTGGTAATGAGAAGGGAGAAGGAGGGAGCAGAAGACGGTAGCTGAAGGGTGCAGCAGTGTGGTCAGATCACCTTACATGATACTAATTTCTCCTTAAATTTTCTCTTCTGACCTCTTCCCACTCCCAAATCCCAGACCTTGGCCCACCTTTTGCTTCTGGAAGCATGCTTCTTTCTTTAGCTTGGACCTTTGACCTGTGGTCATGGCCCGGCAGAGGGGACTAAATGCCCCAGAGCTCCACCCCTCTGTGCGGTAGGTCATTTGGGGTAAAGGGAGTGGCTCTCCTTTCCCCTGCAGGGCAAAAACGTCTTCTGTTCTCAGGAAATTACTTTGAGGTCTGTTAGGTGAGGAGCATGTGAGTTCTGTCTGCGGGATCCTCATTCAATGATGCTGAAGGGCAGAGGAGAGCTACAATGTTTTAAAACTCTAAAAGAATGGGGGGAAGGTGTGGAAATACTAACAAGCTTCCAGAGGGCTCTCATTGGAGAACATAACTGGCTTTTTCTGGAAAGCATTCCGACCCCTTCTCAGTTTGAATGACATCTATGATAATAAATGAAGCTGTGGTGTAGATAATCTGAAGTAGCATAAAATTAAACATTGGTTCACCCAACCTGCATTAAGGAGGAGAGACGGGGTTGTGCCTGCAGCCCAGGCTCAGTGCTGAGCAGCAGGGTACCCCCTCTACGTGGTCTCTATGTAGTGTCCCCCAAAATTCATATGTTGAAATCCCAATGCCAAAGGTGATGGTGTTAGGAGGTGGGGCTGTTGGGAGGTGATTAGTGCCCTTATAAAAGAGACCCCAGAGAGCTGGCTTGCCCCGTTCCACCATGTGAGGATACCAAGAGAAGCCGGCAGCCTGGAACCAGGAATAGGGCTCTCACCAGAACCCGAGCATGGTGGTGCCGTGATCTCGGACTTCCAGCCTCCAGAACTGTGAGAAATAAACGTCTCTTGTTTAAAAGCTATCCAGTTTATGGTGTTTTTGTTATAGCAGCCTGAACTGACTAAGACAGGAAGCCACCATTCAAGACCAAAGACTTTTCTGCTGAGAACCCATCAAGTGGATAATCTAAAAATGGATAATAGTTTCTTGTAGCTTTGTTTTATGGATATGCTCCCCAAATGACCCTGCTTAGCTTGGTAAAGGAGGGGATTTCACCAGTTCTGACCTCTCAAGACAAACAGCTAGGCTTGGTAGGAGGCTAAGTAAGTGCCAGACTAGGAACAAGGGACATGAGTTTAAAATTTTCTCCCATGGTATCTGAGAAGGTGCGATTTGATTTTCTTGGGTGTCTAAGGGGAAAGGAGGGGAACATAGACTTCAACGATGGTCCCCTTGGGGAGCTGCTGGACATGGAGGGGAATAGGCTGGGCATTCGGGTGGGCCTGCCATATAGTCTAGGGACCAGCCAATGTCAGACCCAGTCTTCAGGCTGCTCTAACTGGTAAGCAGGCACCTTCGTCCTTCCATTCATTCGTTTGTTCACCTGTTCATTCCTTCATTAATTTAACAAGTATTTGTTGAGTGCCCATTATGTCCCAGGCCTGGTCGAGGTGTGGAGGATACATTCCCAAGTAGAAGATAAAGATCCCTGCAGTCGTGGAGCTTACATGTTAGCAGGAGGAGACAGACCACAGTCAACAAAAATACACAAGTAGATTATAGGCCATGTTTGAAGGTGACGAATGCCTTGAAAACAATAAATAAAGCAGAGACAGAAGGAACCAGTAGTGCCATGGGTGGGGGCACTGCAGTCTCACATTGAGGAGGTAGTCAGAGGAGGTGGTACTTCAAGCTGCCCCTCAGAGCCACGCCCCGGGGTGACTCTTACTTTCAGGAGAAACTGCTCCTTCTCACTTTTGATTTGTTGCTCCATCTCCTCATAGAGATGCTGGATTTCTTCATCATAAGCAGCAATTTTCCTGCAGAGATAGCAAAAGGAGAGTCTGATGAGGTCTATGCCGAACTTTCTTTATCCCATAGCGGCAAGTCGTGGAGCCTGGGCACCAGAACCCCATCTGGAGCTGTGGGCGGTGGGGTGACTGTGTGGGTCGGGTCAGTCAAACCTGCAGGATCAGCTCCTCAGGATGAGCTGACCCATCAGGACCTTCTCTGGCTGCTGGAAGTTTCCAGGTGGCCTCTCCTCCTCCTGCCTCCTGGCCATCACTACCAGACGATCCACATACTCCTCAGCGAAGCTTCCCTGGTTCTATCATCCTTTACTCCGCTTTATTCTGTACTCTATCTACTCACCCTCCCTACTGCCTGCTGGTCCCCATGCTCGTAGACAGCACACAGTTGTGTGTGTGGGCTTTCCTGTTTGGGTTCTTGGTTTATCTCTTTCCCACTTTGGACGCTTTCTCTCTACCTGGTTACATCAGCATTGTCTGAACTGCACTATCAGAGGGCTCTCCTCACATTGTGTGCTTAAGTTTGCGTGATCCACATTTCTCATAAGATCTATAAGATCTCAAAAGATTCCATGATGATGACAACCACGACCACCACCCCCTACAAAGGAAGGGGGCCATACCTGCCCAAGCGTTCATGCCATCTCAGGCACAGGGCCAAAGGCAGACAGTATGAGAAGGGCGAGGCTGGTTAAAGGCTGGTGGTGGCAATGAGATGTCCTCATCCCCTCCCTCAGCATCCTCTCCTCCTCCAAAGAGCCCCACAGGACAGGAAGTAAGTACCTGGGCATTCTGCTCCTACACAGAGACGAAGACAAATGTGGCTATGGGGACAAGGTTTGTAGGTCATCCCTGGGGTTGTTCCTCCTTCTTTCCCAGTAACAGATCCTCCTTTGAATACTTCCCCCAATTCAAACAGGAAGGGTCAGGTATTAACATCTGAGCTGAGCCTGGAAGTTGTCACACCAAAGCTCACACTCCCGGGGACTGCGTTTTTATAGCTTTCCTCTGACCTGCAGAGAGAGACCCTCTCAGCCCCTGACTCCTGTCCTCTTTCTCTCCTGTGAAGGGAACTCTGGGCCCCAGCAAACAGGCTGACATCATGGCTCTCAAGGTCTGTTTTGAACATGTAACATACACACACATACTGCAAATTTTGGCACTTGTCATTCTAAACTCAAACGGTGGCAAGCCCCCTCTGCCCTTTATTGAAGTAAGACTTTAATAATTGAGGAAATAGCCCTGGTTCTCAGTTCTAAGAGGTACTGGAGAGATTTCTGAATATTTATTTATTTAATTTATTCTCCCGAGCCTTCTATCATTTTAACCCCTACCTCCCCATGTCCCTATGTCCACTTGGGACTCCAATCCAGTGACAGGCCTTCCCTGCTGCCTGAGGCTGCACCACAGCCCACGCTGCCCCTTCCTCACCTGCTACCTGCTGGGGGAACATTTACACCACATGCACAGACTGAGCAATGACTAAAGAGCCATTTTGACTGGCGACTTTTCAGTTCTATAGAAACCACAAAACTGACCCAGACAAAGGAACTAGTATGAATCTCCATGATCAAGGTCACTCCTATCAGAGCACCAGCCTCTGAGTTCCCTTTCTTGGCCATACCCCACAAGACCAGAAACCTGACTTTGAACAAGGAGAGCAATGGCCCCAGAGTGTGCTCAGCAAAAGGTGACAGCTCCCCAAGACTTCCACGAGCTGGAGGCCTGTGTTTACTAACGTGTTTGGCATCCCAGGTGTAACAGATGTCTTTTTGGCTAAGAGTAAGGAATCTCTTCTTGGTAAAAAACAGATGTTTTGGATTGTTACTTTTGTTCTGAGCTAACCCATAATAATTACAAGAAAATCTTGGAGAGAAATAAGGAGCAAAGGCACCTGCTGTTGAATAGGGACACCTCAGGGACAGATATAAATATGGTTTGAAGGAAATTTCAGAAAGCAATATGGTCTTCTCTTGGTCCCTGGAATTATCTTCCTGTGCTTGAAGAAATTCAGATAATAAAAGGCAAATAGCATCAAGGAAAACTTTAGACAGCAATTCCAACTATATAAATACTGGAGAATTAATAAAGTGAGATGAGAGAAACTTAAAAATTGATTTGGCTCTGTTAAAGCAATACCAATTACAGTCATTCATATAAGCTGTTTACCATTTATGCCTAATAAGCATGCAGAGCATTAATTCTATACTATCATTAAATGTGTTATGTTAACTTTGCTCTAAGTTTTACTTGATTGAATTAAAATAAACTCTATGTTTTTCATGCTCACATGTCAGTTTGCTAGTCACAAAGTAAGTAATTTTGCAAATTGCTAAAAAAAAACAAATGGAGGGAAGGCCGACATAGCTTCTGAAAGGTGCCTACTCCCAGCCCTCAGTCACAAAGGCGGGGTCCATTGCAAAGAAGCCCTGGGATTCCAGATGGGCATCAATGATGCTGGGCCCAACCAGACTCATACATGGAACCAAGCCTTTGGAAATGCTTTTGAAGAGAGCTGGCCTCCCAGGAGATTGCCCAGGCTTGAATGATTTGAAAAGATGAGCCCCAGAGGGACTGACTGACTGACTCATGACCAGCCTAGGTCTGAACATACAAGTCCCCAAAATGGGGAGCATTATGATGCTGTTCACACCATTCATGTCGCTAAGCCAGCTCAGGGATCAGAAGACCTGGGTTCTGATCCTAGAACCAGCTCATTTCCCCCACATGACCTTGGGTAAGTGCTCTGACCTCCTCACATCCCAGGGTAGTCCCTGCCCTATGTTCCTCCCAGCACTGTCATGATGAACAGACAAGAGAGACAGTGTGAAAAGCATTTGGAACTGCAGAGCCCTAAATAAATGTAAGGGATTATTTATTATTGTAATTATTATCATGGGCTGCAGAGGGCAAGGACCACATTCCCCAAGGGAAGGAGGCTCTTAGTTTTGAGGATAAAAGGGTTGCTGGGTTTGGAAAGGGTCAGAGGCAATCAGGAAGATGAAGAACGGAAAGCTTAGTTAATAAAAACTCCCTTCAGACCAATCCATTAGAGATGCAGGCCGTGTGTGAACAGGAGCTGCAGAGCCAAAAGCGCGTGTCTGCAGGGAGCTGCGCAGTGGCTGTGAGAGCAACAATGGCGAGAAACACTCTCAAAAGATCTGCGCATGTGGTGTGTGGTGTTCCAGCCGGGCACACCATATTCTGCCATCAAAGGAAAGAAGCAACCGATTATGTTTGCTTATTATATACATCTTTGTTGTCACAATTTCTAAAACCACTCCTATTGCCTGATGCACACAAACATGGACTTTGAAGTCTTCTCTATGAGAATTTCCCCGTCTATTCCAATCCTCGCTGACCACCTTCTCTGAACTCTTAGGATACCATATGTCTTTATTTGAACACTTAATTTTAAAATCCTGAACAACTGTTTCATTTGGGTTTGTGTTGTCACAACTAGATTAGAAACTCAGACATTTATGTCACCCACAGGGCCTGTGCTCAAAATGTTAATACTGAAAATCTGTAAGAAATCAATTTAAGACTTTGGATACCAAACTCAGAAGCCCATGGACCATATCAGGGGAATACCACATTCTAGGGGAATTGAAGAACTTCAGGGATGGAAGGTTTGTCTGATCCAACCACCTATTTTTCCAGTGTTAAAATCCTTGCCACAATATCACCACCAAGTATTTACCCAAACTAGGTCAGAATACCTGCAGTGAGTGATGGAGAACTTGCTGGATCTCTACACAGCTCTTTCATCTTTGGAATAATCTGGCTCATAGAAATATGTCTTTTTATGACCTTATCTATCCTCTGCACGAAAACCCTTCATATATTTAAAAACAGCATTAAGACTTCAAGGAGTAGCCTTGGGTTCAGGTCATGCCTCTTCACTTCCTCCATCCATGTCTCACATGGGTTCTTTTCTTTTTTTTTTCTTATAAAGAATCCTTTCACCATTTCCTTTACTCCTCTCTGAATGGGCTCTAATTTAGCTTTCTCAAGCTATGGAGCCCAAAACTAAATGCCCAGTCTATGAAGTCTGATCAGTGCAGATTAGAGCTGGACTATTGCCTCTCTTGTTCTAGATGCTCCATATCTATTCACACAGCCTAAGATCAGACTAACTTTTCTTGGCAGCTACATAATAGCTGATGAATGCTGAACCCATTCATCAACTAAAACCTTTAAACCTTATGGCTATGTGATTGTTTTTGTTTTAAAGATGGTACTACCGAATCATCTCTCTCCCATCTTGTGCTTCTGCCATTGGCTTTTTGGATTTTGGCAAGATCTCAAATGTAATCCTGTTAGATTTTGTGTTTGTTAGATTTAGTCCATCTTTCCAGCCTGTTACTATCTTAATGGATCCCAACTAGTTGTTCAGTGTACTCAATGACCTTCCAAGTTTTGTTGATATTTTTAATTTTCAATCATAATGTAAGCTAAATAATCTATAATGTTGGTTTTGACAATTTAATATACCTGAAACTTCTTTAGAAGAGTGTTTTTTAAAATATGCCAAGTATTGGTTTCTAGTTTATTATACTATAGTAAGAGAATATACTGGTAAGATATTTACTTTTTGGACTCAATTAACCTTTGCTTTGTAACCAAGAACATTATTAATTTTTGCATAACTTCCATGAGAAGAATGTGTATTCTATTGTAGGGCACACAACTCTACATTCATCTCTTAAATTAAGCTTGCTGGCTGATGGTTTCAAATACTTTATATACTTAACATACTCTTTGCCTGACTAATATGTCAAATCTAAGATAAGTTTGTTTAAATCTTCTAAAAGTCTTCTAAAGTCTTGTTTTTTTAATCAAATTTTCTTTGTTTTTTTGAAAGTTTCTGCCTTATGTATTTTGCTGATATGTTATTTGGTGCACAAAGGTTTATATCTGCTGTATCTTCTTTATGGATGGACTTTGTTTTATTGCTACAAAGTATTTCCCCTTATCTCCCTTTATTTATGCCACGGAAAAAAATGTTG